GCTTCTTCGGAGTCGAACCATTCCCTCAGGTTTCTAGAGAGAGGGGGGGGATTGGCATAGCTGTCAAACGTCCCTTTTTTTGCGGGAAATTCCCTTATTCCAGCGCCGTTTCCCGATGCTTCCCACTGCTATCCTGGATTGTTAGATATCCCGTAGATTGTCCCCGGGACAGGTGAGGCTGCTGATCCCTTATTTTCAAATTTGAAAGTTGACCGCTATGGGGATTGGGTTTCTCTGAAAACTCTTCTATACACCTGGAGTCTGTTTGGCAACAGGTGGGTGCAGTATTAAGGCAGCTCCCTCTGTTCTTATGTTTTGAGAAACAGACCACGGCTCAGCACTTCTTGCAGAATGTGCCATCTGAAGAAACTGTGTGCAGATTCCAGTGCGGTACTGCTGGAAACTCACCGAAAACCTCGTCCCTTTCCCCCTCCCCTCCGTCAGTCCACATTCCCTCCCGCCCGCATTTCAATCTCAAGTGACAGCGATTTCCCATTACGGAATCAACAGACCACACGCCAGACTCTTTCTCTCATTTATTTGCGGATGGATGTATTTCGTTTGTAAACAATTCTTGTGCATATTGCTCAATCATCTCCAGACACATGTTATTCGTCATAAATCATCTGTCGTGAAAAAAACAAACAAACATTGAAATCATTTTTCCTTTCCTTTTTTTGGAGGACCGGGCGGCGAGGAGAGGGCTGTGTGTTTGCAATGGGACATGGGGGGGGGGGGATAATTCCTTAATGTCGAGGGAGACTTCTGATTAAGTGCTGCTTGTTACCTGTCAACTTGTTCCTGTGACAAACGTGGAAAACCTAGAAAGACGAAGACTCGCTCCCATCAAGGAAAATCTGAGCAAACGGATCTCCAAATGTTAGAAGAGCAAAGGCAGATAAAATAAAGTCCTTCTTCACACAGTGCATGTGGAACTCCCTGCCACAGGAGACCAACCTAGAGAACTTTAAAAGAGGGTTACATAAATTCATGGAAGAGTAGTCAATGGCTACTAGCCAGGATAGCTCTGCTCTGCTCCACAGTCGGAGACAGAAATGGTTCTGAATACAGAGGGGAGAGTTGCTCATGTGTTCGAATCCTGCTGGTCGGCCTCTGTGAGAACAGGATGCTGGACTAGATGGGCCATTGGCCTGATCCAGCACCCTCTTCTTCAGCTTTCTTTCACAAGTGGCCTGGACCCATTGTTAATTTGGTGCTACTAGAACCACAGAGGCCGTTCTCACGCCATGCTTCAACACAGATGGGTCATGATCAGAGTCGACCCCGATTTTCCTTTAACCCAGAAGTTCCTAGGTTCAATTGCTGACACTTCCCGGTTTGGAAAAGCCCATCTGAAATCCCGGAGAGCTACTTCCGGTCATTGTAGACCAGAAGCAGCCAACACGGATGCTCAGCTCAGTTTGTAAGTTTATTGTTCTGGCCAAAGGCCATGACAAAGCAATGGTATTAATAAAACAATACAGAGCATACATCTGTAATATATGCCAGCATCCACGATGTAAGAGATAGAAGATACCAGAGACACCAACAAGCTTGATTTCACATTAAACTTCCAAACTATAAAAATTTACAGCAATTTCATCTAATTCCCTTTTCCTGATTTCTTTTTTTGTATGGCCAGTACGTGCTCTGTTTTGTTTTGCTTTGTTTAAAGGTAAAGGTAAAGGAACCCCTGACCATTAGGTCCAGTCATGGCCGACTCTGGGGTTGCGGCGCTCATCTCGCTTTATTGGCCGAGGGAGCCGGCGTACAGCTTCCCGGTCATGTGGTCAGCATGACTAAGCCGCTTCTGGCGAACCAGAGCAGCGCACGGAAATACCATTTACCTTCCCGCCGGAGCGGTACCTATTTATCTACTTGCACTTTGACGTGCTTTCAAACTGCTAGGTTGGCAGGAGCAGGGACCGAGCAACGGGAGCTCACCCCGTCGCGGGGATTCAAACTGCCAACCTTCTGATCAGCAAGTCCTAGGCTCTGTGGTTTAACCCACAGCGCCACCCGCGTCCTTTTTTGCTTTGTTTACTGGCACTCAAAAGAAACTGAACCATGTCTGCTGCTTGCTTGGGTGACAGAAGTTTCTGAAGGTGATTTTCAAGGGCCTCTCTCTATATGGATGTTGTTGGTCTCCCAATAGCCCCATTGGCTGATTCTCAGGGATGATGGGAGTTGCAGTTCAGCAACATCTGGAGAACATCGCATTAGCTACTTCTGGAGTATACCGAACCAGGTCAGCCAGGTAGTCTGATTCAGTGTAAAGCGGTTCCCTATGTCCTTAGGTCCTGGGGGGCCACCCTTGACCTGAAAGCTAGTTCACATGATTGCTGTAGATGCTAGCAACCCCCTTGGGAGCAATGTAGACTGTGAGCTGGACGATCTGGTCCACAGCCATTGTGTGACCATAGCAGCAGCAGCAGCAGAAGAAGAAGAAGACATGTTGGGAGATGTTGACGAACCAATGCAGACTTTGTAATGATTCTTCCCTACAGGTATGCATTCCTGAAGAAGCTAAGGGATGCTTCAGGGCCGTTTGCACCTAATTATTGCTCCTCTATGCCTGGGCTTCTAAAGTTAGTATACTGAATTGCACAACAGGAACTGACTTCATGAATGAGGAGACTCTTGAGAGTCCCATGGACTGCAAGAAGATCAAACCTATCCATTCTGAAGGAAATCAGCCCTGAGTGCTCACTGGAAGGACAGATCCTGAAGCTGAGGCTCCAAGACTTTGGCCACCTCATGAGAAGAGAAGACTCCCTGGAAAAGACCCTGATGTTGGGAAAGATGGAGGGCACAAGGAGAAGGGGACGACAGAGGACGAGATGGTTGGACAGTGTTCTTGAAGCTACCAGCATGAGTTTGACCAAACTGCGGGAGGCAGTGGAAGACAGGAGTGCCTGGCGTGCTCTGGTCCAGGGGGTCACGAAGAGTCAGACACGACTAAACGACTAAACAACAACAGCAATGCATGGGCTTCTAAAGTTAGTATACTGAATTGTACAGCAGGAACTGACTTCAGTGCAATGCCCCTTAATTTGATGCTAGCAATGGCCGTGTGGACAGTTGTTTCACCATTTTTCATCCCTTCCTCCTGAATTTTGAGAACTCCTGACCTCTTCTTGAAAACCAAATTGTGTTACACCCCTACCCTCCATGACTAGCCCTCAGTACGCTGTGTGAAGTCAAACACATTGCAAGCGCTTCCCCTGGGCGCCTTTCCTCTTTTCCAGCTTTTGTTTCTCATTATATAACTGCCCCCCCTTCCTTGCTACTTTGCAATTACGTCCAACACTCTCTCCCTCATCGCTAGGGCTGGGTGGAATCTGTCCATTGTGGTTTCTCTGTTTCGTTTCTCCTTCAGACCTCAGCTCAGTTAATTGCCTTTCCACAGTTAATTGCCCATTTGTTTGAAGAAGGAAAGTTCTCGCAAAAGCATTTCGGTGTCGGCTTCCCCTAACAGATTCAGGTTTTTGAAGGCAATTTCCCCATACATCGTGCTTTTCGGATGCCGTTTCCCCCCACTAAAACAGGCTTTTTCAAGCACATGATTGTAGAACTCGCTTGCAAAATTCAGAGACGTGCAAATTTGATCTGAACTTGCCTTGTTGACATTAGAAACTTTGTAGGGAGATTGAGGAGCAACTTAAAAACTAAGTCTAATCCCAGCCTGGAAGTAATAATCTTTCTGAATACCAGGTGCTAGAAACCACAGAAGGGGAGAGGGCTCCTGTGCTCAGATCCTGCTTTGGAGAACAGGATGGTAGACTAGGGTCTGATCCATCAGAGCTTTTCTGATGTTCTTAAGCACATGGCAGAGGGTTTCCTATAACCAGGAGCAATGGAAAAACCACCCTATGCTCGCATCTGCAGACATGAACACCGCCATTTTCCTGCAACCAGCAAAGCACACCTGGTCTGCCAGTGGCCCTAAATCCAAGTCCCTCCAGCATTCTACATTTTGCCACAGGAATAAGTTGTGGGTACATTTCCATTCAAAGGGGAAAACAAACCGAATAGCAATATTGGGGGACATCAGAAGTGACGCTCAGAGGTAGCACATGTTTGTGGTCGGGCTAGCATCTAAGTTACCCCTTCCACAGTTGAAACCAAAGACAGATGGAAAAGTCATAGAATTGCAGAGTTGGAAGGGACCCAGCTCCCACTGTCAGAATTCCTGACAGTTGACCATCAATGGAAGGCAAGCTTTAGGGTGTCATTGAAAGCTTTCAGATGTCGTGTCCCCAGCTCTGATTGGAAAAAAGGGGCTTGCTGGCAGGACTCTCAAGAAAAGAGATCTTCCAATTTGGGTTGCTGTGGCCCTGCATTTTGTTGGAGAACGGCCAAGGACCCCCTGATCTGCTTGCAAGTGAGAGGGAAATACAGATGCAGACCTAGGTTTCAATGACATAGAATCCTACCCAACCCCATCACCAGCTGCTTTTGTATAACTCACAGCTACTTAGAATCATAGGGACGCGGGTGGCGCTGTGGGTTAAAACACAGAGCCTAGGACTTGCCAATCAGAAGGTCGGCGGTTCGAATCCCCGCAACGGGGTGAGCTCCCGTTGCTCGGTCCCTGCTCCTGCCAACCTAGCAGTTCGAAAGCACGTCAAAATTGCAAGTAGATAAATAGGTACCACTCCGGCGGGAAGGTAAACGGCGTTTCCGTGCGCTGCTCTGGTTCGCAGAAGCGGCTTAGTCATGCTGGCCACATGACCCGGAAGCTGTTCGCAGGCTCCCTCGGCCAGTAAAGCGAGATGAGCGCCACAACCCCAGAGTCATCCGTGACTGGAGTTAATGGTCAGGGGTCCCTTTACCTTTACCTTACTTAGAATCATAGACTTTAAAAGTTGGAAGGGGCTCTAAGAGTCATCTAGTCCAACCCCTTGCAATGCAGGAATCACAGAGGAAGAATACCTGACAGGTGGCCACTGAACCTCTGCTTAAAAAATCCCCAAAGGACCTCCAGTTGCGTGTTGTGCTTTTGTGGAAGTGTGGTGTGTGTGTGTGTGTGTGTGTGTGTGTGTGTGGATTTAATCACAGGACCATGATACCACCTGTTGATTTCAGTTTCCTTTCCTTTCCTTAAAAAGAGAGCAAGTTTCTAGCCCTGAACGTCTGAGAATGCCCAGGGAAATCAGAGCAAAATCTCAGAAGCCAGATTGAAGAACGAATAAGCTTTCTAGTGATGTGTGTGGGCGGGGCTTCAGACCCATTTTAGCTCCTCCCCTTCCTCACGACTAGCCGTGCCATCATAAATTATGCAAAATAGGAAACGCAGGGAATAAATTATGCAAAATAAGCTCAACTGTGCAAATCTGGGTAACTGATACCGGTTGCAACATTCAGCCTCTTTTGGGGACAGGATCAACATATCTATATTTTAAAATTGCAGAATAGGCGTGTTGACCCTTTGGGGTCTTCTGGCTGAAGAGAGAAGATATTAGACAACTTGATGGGAGGGAAAAAACCAAGGCAGTTTTCAAGCTCTCTTACAGACCCTGACATGGTTTTCTTTTACAATGGACATCTCCATCACTCCTTGTTCGCCAAATCTGCTCTTGGGTTCATTAAGGTAAATTCACTTGAGGTGTGCAAGCCAGTTTTAAATGTCTTCTTAACTCTCTCCCACAATAACTAAGACTGTAGGCTCTTAGGTGCTGGAGAATTTGCTCCCATGGGGAGTGAAGGAAGGATATAAACGGAATTCATTTTAATAGGACTTTTTTTAAGATATGGGATTTCCTAGTTGTTTTATGCAAGATTATTTTGATTATTATTAAGCATGTTTGGAAATTTTTGGAAGTTATGCATCAGTTGCAGTTTAGCAAAGGGATTTTTTTTACTTCCGGAGTTTGGCTTGGTTGCAAAAGGAGAAGACAGAAGAGGCTGACTGTGGCACACAGTATGTGCTACATACTGAATCTGATTTAGGATTTATTCCCTCTGACCAGGGAACTGTAGTTCTCAGAAAGGGCCCCAGCATCCCAAACAGAGCATTCTCAGCCTCTGTGCTGAACTACAACTCCCAGAATTCCTTAGGGGAGCCCATGACCATCAAAGTGGTATAAAAATCAAGAGGTGTCTGCAGGGCAGACATTCCCAACCAAAACGGGGCCATGATCCTAAGACGATGTCTCCATTGAAATCAGTGGGATTAACGCCTGTGTAAATGTGGACGGGGTTGAGTTGCTCCCTAATCTCCGGAAATTGAAGATCTCGAGAAACAATTTGCACAACCAGTTTTCAAGTGGTGGTTACCTGGGCGACCCAGATCAGGTTGGTTCTTTGCCAGTGGCCAAGGCGGTAGACAAATTTCTGACCTGTGCCAGGATACTGGGGGAAAGGAGCTGTCACCATTCCCCTAAGTCCCCCAGGGCAGCCTACTTCAGACCCCCTAAGATGGCCTACTGAACCCCCAGATATGGTAGAGATACGCCATCCCATTGTTGGTGCTGGAAGTATGAGTTCACTGCCAGCCCCACTGGATTCTACAAGTGGAATTGGAGGGCGCCATCTTGTCCTTGGTGCCATCTTGTCTTGGGCCGGCCCTGCTGTTGGACGACCGTGAACCACCATGTCCAAAAAGGTCTTGTGATTTGTCCCCATTAGGTGTTATGACAGCAGAGGTAGGATAGTCAGCATGGCTTTTTGGGTAGGCGGAGGTGACCAGCAGCACCTCTGGCCAACCTGACTTTGGGTCCACCACCCTTGCTTCGCACAATCACCTCTGCCCTTCCTGTGACTTTTAGCCAACTTCCCTTCATCCTTGGTGAATATGGAACACCTGGGCAGTACAGATATTTGCTCCAGCAGCTCTTGAAAACACACCGGTCCAAAATGCGGCTCCCAGAATCTAGTACAGGGGTGGGCCTCCGGAACCTGTCGGACTACATCTCCCATCAGCCCCTGCATGCCAGTGGTGTGTACAGATGATGGGAGTTGTAGTCTAGCAGTAGCCAGAAGGCCAAAGGCGTCCCTCTCATCTTGGATCTGCAAAATGGGCCAGTCGAGAAGCTTCTTCATAGGATAACTCACCCCTTACTGCTATCAAACCAGCTTCCAGCTGACCCCGCTGTTTCTCAGGGTGCCTTTACATTTCCGATTTAAATTGGTTCTCAAGGACATTCCCTTTCCAGGGATCCTGGAAATTATCATTCTGGGAGAGGACAAGAATGATTGAGGTGCCCACCAGACTACAATTTCCAGGATTTTTTTTGCGCTGGGCGGGCGGCAATGAAATTGACAGCCAAACTGACAAAAAGCACACAAAATTCGGCAGCACAGATTCCCCCTCTGCTACCCACAAAACAGAATGGATGAGATTGCCGTGAAAGCTGGGCTGCCCGCTCTCGGCTGCTTCCGTCCAATTGCACCGGCTCCTTTCACTCAAAATTTCAGCTCAGCTCAGACAAAGGACCCTCCACGACTCCCATTTGGCTGTTATTAAAGCGAATTACCGGGAGTAAAAACCCCACGTTGTTCAGATGAAAGATTTCCTGCTTCCCGTAGGAACATGCAACCAGGTCTTTCGAGGACCGGACCTTAATCAAAGGAGGAACAACTATGTAAAGCCCTTCCAGGGAGCAGATTCCAGTTAGCGACGGCCAGAAATGAGGGTTCATTGGGCTGAACCCCTCTTGGATGGATCGACCACATGACAAACCCTGTTTCTTTCCAATAAACATGGGAAACGGTCACGTTCAGGAAGGCCTTGGGGCAAGCTTGCACCACCACCGGACAATGATGCTCTACCCTTCACTCTCTTGGCGCCAAAACGTGACGCACGACATCTTCTTCCGTTTCTATTTCAGTGGCAGATAAAGCTCAGAGCGCTGTCTTTGTAAACTCGGAGGATCTCCTTCATTTTAACCGGGAATGACGAGCTCTCCTGGGTCTGGAGAGCCCTTGCCTTCATGAACACCGTGAGAAAGCGAGAGAGCAAGCCAGGGAACAAAAGTGTGTGTGTGTTTGTGTGTGTGTGTGATTGGACCGCGGACCTGCATTTCCCCGCAGAACTTGACACCTCGTTCCGAAGAACCGGGGGGAAAACGTCTGAAGAACCTCAGCATTCAGTGATTGGCCAGGGATTCCTATGAACACCCAGTGCTTCCTGGGTCACTTATCCTTTGGACGTTTGACCATTCCTCCCACCCACCCCTTTACATCACCGTCTCCTTTTCCTCTTCCACAAGGACCGTTGGCCGGTCTCCGTTGTAGAGTCCCGACCCGTTGAGATACTCCTCCTCTTTGTTGTACTGTTCCGGTCCAGTGGAAGGCATAGAGTTCTCCGAAATGGAGCCATTTTTGACGTATCCCGGCAAGTTCCGGTGTCCGTTGAGGGCTCCTGGAAGGAGTTTCGAATTGAGCTGCAGGGCGATCCCGCCTCTCGCGGTGACATTGGTCACGCTGGTGTGGGACACCATGGGCCCGTAGCTGTAGGTGGTGCTCCCGCTGCGAGCTTTCCGCTTAAAGTCAAGCGCTAACGTCCATCTGCTCCATGACTTCTTTATCTCTGCTTGAACCTGGCGAGGAGGAGAAAGAGAAGGTGCCTCATTACTTAAAATTAAAATTTCAACACAAGGACACAGTAATAATAATAATAATAATAATAATAATAATAATAATAATAAATTATTTATACCCCTGGCTGGGTTTATCCAGCCACTTTCCCCAGATTTTAACACCAAACTTAAAAACTTCCCTAAACAGGGCTGCCTTCAGATGTCTTCAAAAAGTCAGGTAGTTGTTTATTTCCTTGGCATCTGATGGGAGGGCGTTCCACAGGGTGGGCGCCACCACCGAGAAGTCCCTCTGCCTGGTTCCCTGTAACCTCACTTCTCGCAGGTAGGGAACCACCAGAAGGCCCTAGGAGCTGGACCTCAGTGTCCGGGCTGGAGACGCTCCTTCAATGGCCAAGGCCATTGAGGGCTTTAAAGGTCAGCACCAACATTTTGAACTGTGCTCGGGAATGTACTGGGAGCCAATGTAGGTCTTTCAGGACCAGTATTATATGGTCTTGGCGGCCGCTCCCAGTCAACAGTCTAACTGCCGCATTCTGGATTAGTTGTAGTTTCCGGGTCACCTTCAAAGGTAGCCCCACGTAGAGCGCATTGCAGTAGTCCAAGCAGGAGATAACCAGAGCATGCACCACTCTGACGAGACAGTCCGCGGGCAGGTAGGGTCTCATCCTGCGTACCAGATGGAGCTGGTAGACAGCTGCCCTGGACACAGAATTGACCTGCACCACCCAGGCTGCGCACCTACTCCTTCAGGGGGCACAGTTACCCCATTCAGGGCCAGGGACTATTCAGCACATGGACCAAGGCTATTTCACCTAATAAGACCATCACCATAGAATTGTAGAGCTGGAAGAGACCCTCATGATCATCTAGTCCACCCCCTGCCATGCAGAAATATGCAGCTGTCCCATACGGGGATCAAACCTGCAACCTTGGCATTACCAAAGCCCCGCTCTAACCAACTGAGCTATCCAGGCATCAGAGAGAAGATGCTTGTACAATAACGGTAAGTGCAATTCTGCACAGATATGTTAAACGAACACATCATTTAGGAGAGCTATATTTCTTTCTTAGGTGCAGGTAAGGAGTTGCAGATGACACAACCTTGATGGCAGAAAGCGAGGAGGAATTAAAAGAACCTTTTAATGGGGATGAAAGAGGAGAGTGCAAAATATGGTTTAAAGCTCAACATCAAAAAAACTAAGATCATGGCCACTGGGCCCATCACCTCCTGGCAAATAGAAGGGGAAGAAATGGAGGCAGTGAGAGATTTTACTTTCCTGGGCTCCATGATCACTGCAGATGGTGACAGCAGTCACGAAATTAAAAGATGCCTGCTTCTTGGGGAAAAAGCGATGACAAACCTAGACAGCATCTTAAACAGCAGAGACATCACCTGGCCAACAAAGGTCCGTATAGTTAAAGCTATGGTTTCCCCAGTAGTGATGTATGGAAGGGAGAGCTGGACCATAAAGAAGGCTGATCGCCAAAGAATGGATGGTTTTGAATTCTGGTGCTGGAGGAGACTCTTGAGAGTCCCATGGATTGAAAGAAGATCCAACCTCTCCATTCTGAAGGAAATCAGCCCTGAGTGCTCACTGGAAGGACAGATCCTGAAGCTGAGGCTCCAAGACTTTGGCCACCTCAGGAGAAGAGAAGACTCCCTGGAAATGTTGGGAAAGATGGAGGGCACAAGGAGAAGGGGACGACAGAGGATGAGATGGTGGGACAGTGTTCTCGAAGCTACTAACGTAAGTTTGACCAAACTGCGGGAGGCAGTGGAAGACAGGAGTGCCTGGCGTGCTCTGGTCCATGGGGTCACGAAGAGGTGGACACGACTAAGCAACTAAACAACAACAGCAACAACAACAAGGAGTTGCATGGGTCACTGTTTTTATCTTGTGTTTAAAGTCACAAGATGGTTCCGCTGGCTCTTCCTTTCATCCCGGCAATCTTGAGGGTTATCCTTTCAGCAGTGGCAAGGTTGCTTAACTTCTTATAGCGCAACTCAACGTGACAGATTCTTAAAGGTTTGTCCCCCACTCCACCCCCATTTTGGCCTCCTAGGATCTACTTCTCTGAATATCAGGAGATAGTATTTTTAAAAAACAAATATTAGGGAGCATTTCAAACTTTCAACCCACTCAGCGCTTCTCCCTGGAAACTTGGTGGAAAACGATCCACACCAATGTTGGGCTTTGGAAGATGTAACTTAGGCTGTGAGAAACTTACCTCCCCGTTGCAAAAGCAATAGATAATGGCGACAAAAAAACCCTAGGAAAGAGGAGGAGAAAAACGACAAATTAATGTTGACTCAGGACATGGCTATTTCACCGAAGCACAGATATCCTCTGAGTTTGGAAGAGAACGCGGACAGAGAACGCCGTACCTGGAAAGAGTTGAAGAGCATTTCATAGTGCATTTGAATTTGCCAGATGATCCCTGACACTTCGGTGTACGGCATAGCCATAAAAACAATATAATGAACTCCGAAAAGAGGCATGAGGACCAGGGTGGATTTCAGTAGCTTCCTGCAGAAGAGAGCAGAGAGGAAAGGGAAAACGTTAAGAGAAGCTGAATTCGTTTCCAAACCCTGAACCATAATGAAATACCGACATCCAGGTGTGAGGAGAAAACAGCAAAGACCTGATGAAGAGAGCACAGCAGAGGTTATGTTTTCTGAGAATCCTCCGGGAAAATAATCTCTCAAAGGACCTGTTGATGGCATTTTACCATTGTACTTTGGAGAGTGTATTAACGTATGGTCTGTGTGTGTGGTTTGGGAGCTGCACGGTCAGGGGAAAAGCAATGCTGTCCAGGGTTGTAAAGACTGCGGAGAGAATAATTGGGTGCACTCTTCCCACCTTGGATCAAATCTATGCTTCAGATGTCTTCTAAAAGCCAGATAGTTGTTTATTTCCTTGACATCTGACGGGAGGGCATTCCACAGGGCGGGCGCCGCCACCGAGAAGACCCTCTGCCTGGTTCCTTGTAACCTGGCTTCTTGCAGGGAGGGAACTGCCAGAAGGCCCTCGGAGCTGGACCTCAGTGTCCAGGCTGAATGATGGGGGGTGAAGACGCTCCTTCAGGTCTACTGGACCGAGGCCTTTTAGGGCTTTCAAGGTCAGCACCATGAGTAGCAACGGGCAGAGACAAGGTAGGTTTTCACTTCTATTCTTGGTCCCACACTCTGGTGTGAGCCAATTGACTCATGCTGCAGCGTGGAATGAAAAAAGTCCACCTTTTGATCCCACATTCTGGGTGTCCAGAGTGTGGGAGACAAATTAGGACATCTGGGATTGGGACCTCAGTGTCTGGGCAGAACAATGGGGGTGGAGACGCTCCTTCAGGTGTACTGGACCAAGGCTGTTTAGGGCTTGAAAGGTCGGCACCAACACTTTGAATTGTGCTCGGAAACGTACTGGGAGCAAAGGTAGCAGAAAGCGCCTCAGAACGTCTGAGCGGATGAGGACATCTGGTACCATTCAGGAGCGGTGCTCCCTGAAGGAACACTGACTGGAAATGATGCTGACGGAGGGAGGAGGGAGAGGGAGGGGCAGGAAATTCCCTGCCAACGGTTGCCGCAGCATGGAGGCAATTATGAAGGGGCACCAGCCGCACAGAGGCCCAGCCTCTTCTGCAGCGAATAGGGGCTGGAGGTTGAGGAAAACATCATTAAAAGCAAAACAAAACAGCCAAGAGCCTCCAAAACCATAATGAGTAACAAGCCTCAAATAGCGTGTAATAAATCAATAGGTAGATGATAGGCTTCGGTGAGGCTGGAAAACGAGGCTTGGCCTTTTTTTTATTGCCAATGGCAGCTGGTGCAAACTCCCTACTCCTGCTTTAAATTAAACATTTTCCTTCCCAGTTCTCAAGGTTCTCTCCTCCCTCCCCACCCTTCTTTTTCTTCTTCTAAACAAACTCGGCCAATCTGACGAATGTGGACCTCTAGCTTAGCCAGGATTACTCAGATGTAGCTGTGATCGGTTAAGGCTGAGCAGAGATCTGCTAGCACAGGGGTGTCAAACTCAAATTCATCGGGGGCCGCATCAGCAGTTTGGTCACCCTCAAAGGGCCGGTTGTAACAAGTGGAGGTTTCCTGAATGCATGTAAAGTGGAGGTTTCCTGTGTAGAACGGCCGGCGCCGCTAGAGGGCAGACGTTCTCTGGCTTGTAGGCTGCCGCGCATGCGCTGAAGAGGCGGCTTTCTTGTGTAAAAAAAAAAAAAAGCGAGAATAAAAGGTGAAGGCCGGTGGCAGCTACACGGGCCACATGACAAGGTCTGGCGTGCCAGATTCGGCCCGCGGGCCTTGTGTTTGACACCCGTGTGCTAGCAGGAGGACCCTTTTAAGAACCAACATGGCGGCTTGGCTGGTAGGTGGCAGAGAGCTAGGAAGTTCATAGAACCGTAGAGTTGGAAGGGACCCCCAAGGCTCATCTAGTCTAACCCCTTGCCGTGCAGGAATCACAGCTGAAGAATCCCCAGCAGATGGCCAACCGAATGGTGTTGAAAAACATCCAGTGAAGTCCACCACCTTCCGAAGAAGAAGAAGAAGAAGAAGAAGAAGAAGAGGAGGAGGAGTTTGGATTTGATATCCCGCTTTATCACTACCCGAAGGAGTCTCAAAATTCCCTTCCTCCCACACAACAAACACTCTGTGAGGTGAGTGGGGCTGAGAGACTTCAGAGAAGTGTGACTGGCCCAAGGTCACCCAGCAGCTGCATGTGGAGGAGCGGGGAAGCGAACCCGGTTCACCAGATTACGAGTCTACCACTCTTAACCACTACACCACACTGGCTTGCTGATCAGAAGGTCGGCGGTACGAATCCCCACAATGGGGTGAGCTCCCGTTGCTCAGTCCAAGCTCCTGCCCACCTAGCAGTTCGAAAGCACATCAAGTGCAAGTAGATAAATAGGGACCGCTATGGCGGGAAGGTAAACGGCGTTTCCGTGCGCTGCTCTGGTTCGCTAGAAGCGGCTTAGTCATGCTGGCCACATGACCCGGAAGCTGTACGCTGGCTCCCTCAGCCAATAAAGCGAGATGAGCGTCACAACCCCAGAGTGGGCCACGACTGGACCTAATGGTCAGGGGTCCCTTTACCTTTACCTTTTTAAGTTCCCCATCCTTGTCTTAACGGATCCCAGTATGGATAGGTTGTTGACATTCCCCTTCTCCAAAACCTCCCTGAAGAGTAGGACAGCCCCAAGCACTTACCTGTACTGTTGCCTCGTGTCACACCTCCCCGCGTTTGTTTCTCGGAGTTTGGTTGCGAGGACTCTGAGAATTTTGATGAACAGGATAAAATTTGCCTGGGGGAGAAAGAGAGACAAAGCGTTTTTCTAAGGGTGCTGTTGAGAGAGGCCTCTTCAAACCCCTCTCCAGCTTCTACTACTAAAAGGGTCAGTTGTTGTGGGAGAAATTCCCCTTGTGGGGGGTTCAAGGAGGGTCACATCCATTCCTCAACTGGTCAGACTTTATTCAGCAATGCATTGCAGGAGAAGAGTCCAAAGAGTTTGCAAAAAAAGCTTTGCATTATTACACATCATTTATAGGAAAAAATAAATCATCTTGGTTAGGCAGAGACCATAAGACGACCCGGATTTTCGCCAGATCTGCGCACAGATTTGTAGGCGCAGACCATCCCCTGATTCAATCTCGTTTGTTAAGAAAATTCCCAAACTAGGATCCACAGGCGACTCTGGGTCATTTCTCTAAGGTTGTCTATCTTAAAGTTTTTGTGTGTTTATATGCTGGAGGAGACTCTTGAGAGTCCCATGGACTGCAGGAAGATCAAACCTCTCCATTCTGAAGGAAATCAGCCCTGAGTGCTCACTGGAAGGACAGATCCTGAAGCTGAGGCTCCAATACTTTGGCCACCTCATGAGAAGAGAAGACTCCCTGGAGAAGACACGGATGCTGGGAAAGATGGAGGGCACAAGGAGAAGGGGACGACAGAGAACGAGATGGTTGGACAGTGTTCTTGAAGCTACCAGCATGAGTTTGACCAAACTGCGGGAGGCAGTGGAAGACAGGAGAGCCTGGCGTGCTCTGGTCCATGGGGTCACGAAGAGGCGGACACGACTAAACAACTAAACAACAACAACAATGCCTATCACACTTTTAAACTTAAAATCCATTGTTGTATATTGTTTCAAATGCTTGTTTTGTTATTGGGATTGTAGTTCCATTTGTGTTTCTCAAGCTGGTCTCGGACTGTAATAAATTTCATGTTTCAAGTCATCTTGGCTGTTCCAGCCTCTGGGCCAAGCAACATCTGCCATCCCATCGCTCCATCTCTTCATCCAGCCAGATTCCTTGAAATGTCACTTTACTCAGGCCATTTTCACTGAACCTGCCAGAACCCTCCTTGTACCTTATTTAGAGTCATTTTCCCCCTTTAAAAGCCAGCGTTAAGGTCTTCCTAAACTGGTCCTTGTCAGCCTGGACTTTGCACGTGTGACATTAGCCTCCCTGAGTTTTACAGAAATTCCACGTGTTCAAATAATGATTCAAAAATTTTGTCTAAAATGTACAAATTGCTGCTTGAATGGCATTTGAAGGACAAGGAGGTTAAGTCGGTTATGATTCACTGGGCCAAAGATTTTGGGTATAATATGCAGCTGAGCGATTGGGTAAAATTATGGAAAGAAGGTTTAGAATTTACTGCATGCAATGCCCTAAAAGAAAATGTGATGAAAATGATGTATAGATGGTATATTACACCTGTTAAGTTAGCGAAAATGTATAAAGTCAGTAATAAATGTTGGAAATGTAAAGAAAAAGAGGGAACATTTTATCACATGTGGTGGGAATGTAAAAAGGTGAAATGCTTCTGGGAGATGATATATAATGAGATGATAAAAATGTTGAAATATACATTTATAAAGAAACCAGAAGCATTTTTACTGGGCATTGTTGGGAGTGATATAAATAGAAAGGAATATACCGTATTTTTCGCACCATAGGACGCACTTTTTCCCTCCTAAAAAGCAAGGGAAAATGTGTGTGCGTCCTATGGAGCGAATGCAGGGGGGGGAGGCAGGCGGGAAAAGCCCCCCAAGAGCCGCACACAAGCTCCGTGCGCTCTTGCGGGCTTTTCCACAGGAGGGAGAAGGGTCTGACTGGCCGCATCAGTCCCTTCTCCAACCTCCCAGGAAAGCCAGGAGAAGCTGCGATCTCTTTAAAGGAGTTGCGCGGCTTCTGCGGGCTTTTGCCAGAGGTGAGGGAATCCCCCCACCTCCCAGGTAAGCCAGAAGAAGCCGTGCAGCCCTTTTAAAGTGCGCGCGGCTTCTGCCGGTTTTGCGGGAGGTGGGGGAATTCCCCCACCTCCCAGAAAAGCCAGGAGAAGCCGCACAGCCCCTTTAAAGAGCTCACGGCTTCTGCGGGCTTTGCGAGAGGTGAGGGAATCCCCCCCCTCCCAGGAAAGCCAGAAGAAGCCGTGCAGCCCTTTTAAAGTGCGCGCGGCTTCTGCCGGTTTTGCGGGAGGTGGGGGAATTCCCCCACCTCCCAGAAAAGCCAGGAAAGCCCTGCGCAGCGTCTCCCGGCAAGGGGAGGCTGCGCGCGGCTAAAGGGGAAGGCAAAACAGCGAGCGGGATCCATCCCGCTCGCTGCCTTGCCTTCTTCCATAGCTGCGCGCAACCCCTCCGCAAGGAGACGCTGCGCGCGGCTAAAGGGGAAGGCAAAACAGCAAGCGGGATCCATCCCGCTCGCTGCCTTGCCTTCTTCCATAGCTGCGCGCAACCCCCCGCAAGGAGACGTTGCGCGCGGCTAAAGGGGAAGGCAAAACAGCGAGCGGGATCCATCCCGCTTGCTGCCTTGCCTTCTTCCATAGCTGCGCGCAACCCCTCCGCAAGGAGACGCTGCGCGCGGCTAAAGGGGAAGGCAAAACAACGAGCGGGATCCATCCCGCTCGCTGCCTTGCCTTCTTCCATAGCTGCGCGCAATCCCTCCGCAAGGAGACGCTGCGCGCGGCTAAAGGGGAAGGCAAAACAGCGAGCGGGATCCATCCCGCTCGCTGCCTTGCCTTCTTCCATAGCTGCGCGCAACCCCCCGCAAGGAGACGCTGCGCGCGGCTAAAGGGGAAGGCAAAACAGCGAGCGGGATCCATCCCGCTCGCTGCCTTGCCTTCTTCCATAGCTGCGCGCAACCCCTCCGCAAGGAGACGTTGCGCGCGGCTAAAGGGGAAGGCAAAACAGCGAGCGGGATCCATCCCGCTCGCTGCCTTGCCTTCTTCTATAGCTGCGCGCAACCGCTCCGCAAGGAGAGGCTGCGCGCGGCTAAAGGGGAAGGCAAAACAGCGAGTGGGATCCATCCCGCTCGCTGCCTTGCCTTCTTCCATAGCTGTGCGCAACCCCCCGCAAGGAGAGGCTGCACGGGGCTATGGCTTCTTTAGCCCTGCGCAGCGTCTCCCGGCAAGGAGAGGCTGCATGGGGCTAAAGGGGAAGCCAAAACTTGGCTTGCTGCATAGCTGCGCGCAACCCCTCCGGCAGGGAGAAGTTGTGCGCACCCTGTACGCTGCTCTTTGGGGCTGGGGGGGGAAAAGATTTTTTTCTTGATTTCCCCCCCTAAAAACTGGGTGCGCCCTATGGTCCGGTGCGCCCTATGGTGCGAAAAATACGGTAAGCTCTTTTAATATGCAATAACAGCAGCAAGAATATTACTGGCCCAAAAATGGAAGCAAGAAGAAATACTGACGATTGAAGAATGGAGGATGAAGCTAATGGGCTATACAGAACTAGATAAACTAACAGGAAGGATTCGAAACCGGCAGGACCAGAAATTCACAGAAGACTGGAGTAAATTTACGGACTATTTGAAAACTATTTGTGAAGATCAGACGACGTTTGCAAGAAGTTTTGTGAGGAGTATTATTGGAAGTATTGCAAAAATGGAGAAGGGGAAGGATGATTTGTTAAGAGATGTAAAGGCAATATAAAGTTAAGAAATGCATAAGAAGTGGTTAAAACGGTGGATCATCAGAGGTGCTGATGAAAGTCTAAAAAGATTGTATAAGTGATAAGTTTTGTGGTACATTTTATAATTTATATGTTGAAATTAATAAAAAATATTTTTTAAAAAAGAAATTCCACATGTTGAAAATCTGGGAGACTGGTTTGGAAAAGGTGGATAGCACAAGCTTTGTCTCCCTCTTTCATAACTCTAGAACTCAGGAAGCTGAATGCTAGTCGATTCGGGACAATATAAAAGAAAGTCCTTCTTCACTCGGCGCATCGTTAAACTATGGAACTCATCTCCACAGGAAACTGTCATGGCCACCATTTAGATGGAATAGAGAGCTATCGATGGTTACTAAGCCAGGATGACTATACTTCCACAGTTGGAAGCAGCCAAGCCACTTCCGCCATTCGGAGGAGGTGGAGTTGCGGGCTTTCCAGCCCCCGTGCAATTGGGGGGATTCCTGATCGCGTCACCCCCTGGCCAGCCAATCGGCTGGCTCTGGGGGCGTGGCCTGCTCTATTTAAGGCAGGACGCGGCCAGGGATCTCCCTCTTTGCCGCCCGCCAGCTGTTCCTGCTTTTCCCACCCTCCCACCCTATAAGGTTCTCGTTCTTTGACCTTGCTATGGACCTCGGTTGGTCGCCGTTGAGGGGCCTGGTGGGAATTTTTCCACTTGGCAAATTGGCACCAGCCACTTGGTTTTTGCCTGCCTTGTAGCAAATCGTCACAACTTTCTGGGTACTGGCGGTTAGGCATTGGAATAGTTCTGTAGATGGAAGAGGGGAAGTAGCGCTATCACCTGCTCCACATATTGAAGGGTAGTCCGATAAAGGATTCCGGGGGGCGTGGCCCTGTCTGAAGCCTAGGGAGGTGAGGGCCTAAGGCACGCCCCCTAGTGGTGACCCCGGGGGAGTTCCTAGTTGATGTGCATCAGCAGGACTCCCCCTACTGGTGGTTAACCCTTCCCGGACTTCAAGCAGACAGGCTGAAGTCGGATATACAGTGGTACCTCAGGTTAAGTACTTAATTCGTTCCGGAGGTCCGTTCTTAACCTGAAACTGTTCTTAACCTGAAGCACCACTTTAGCTAACGGGGCCTCCTGCTGCCGCAGCGCTGCCAGAGCACGATTTCTGTTCTTATTCTGAAGCAAAGTTCTTTACCTGAAGCACTATTTCTGGGTTAGCGAAGTCTGTAACCTGAAGCGTATGTAACCTGAAGCGTATGTAACCCGAGGTACCACTGCAGTCGGTTGGGACCAATGCCTAAGCCAATACCGCTCATCCCCTGTAACCAATAAAGTTGTGGCCTTATTTAACCCATTGACCTCAATAATTGTGTCATGTGTCTTTATTTCCACTGGGAGGGGTTGGAAACTTGCCACACAATGCTTCTTAATACTAGCTTCCAGAAACCACAGGAGCGGAGAGGGCTCTTGTGTTCGAATCCTGCTTGTGCGTTCCTCCCCAGGCACCTGGTGGTTGGCCACTGTGAGAACGGGGTGCTGGACAAGACGGGCCACTAGCCTGATCCTGCAGGCCTTTCTTATGTTCTGACTTTCTTCATCAGTCTGTTTCCTTGCTGGAAATCGCCGGGCTGGTTTTTCCTTTGGCGCGAGGAGGTTGACATCAGCCAGGACCACACCAGGATGCTTCGAAATCCAGGCAGGGTGGAAGAGACGGGACGACAACGGAGGAATCTGGCAGGATTAGTGTGGCGAAGTGCCAGGGCCCACAAGCCTTTCCAATTTATGGTCCAATGAAGAGAAGACAATGATTTACGCAATCACGGCAGCCAGAATAAGAGTGGCAAGAAACTGGAAGAATGAAATCTTACCAACGATTACAGAGTGGCAAACTCTCATGATAGAATACCTGCAACTAGCAAAACTCACTGGAAAAATTAGAGGAGTGTCAAACCAGAAGATATATAGGGAATGGAAAATATTTAAGGAATACTTAAAAATGTATTGTACAAATAATAAGATACTTGCAGAAATAGAGCTAAACTGTTAACCAAGAATGACATAAAATATATTAGTGGATCATAAGGTCAGGGTAAAGGTACCCCTGCCCGTACGGGCCAGTCGTGTCCGACTCTAGGGTTGTGCGCCCATCTCACTTAAGAGGCCGAGGCCAGCGCTGTCCAAAGACACTTCCGGGTCATGTGGCCAGCGTGACGAAGCTGCATCTGGCGAGCCAGCGCAGCACACGGAAACGCCGTTTACCTTCCCGCTGGTAAGCGGTCCCTATTTATCTACTTGCACCCGGGGGTGCTTTTGAACTGCTAGGTTGGCAGGCGCTGGGACCGAACGACGGGAGCTCACCCCGCCACGGGGATTCGAACCGCCGACCATGCGATCGGCAAGTCCTAGGCGCTGAGGTTTTACCCACAGCGCCACCCGCGTCCCTTTAGTGGATCATATATACATGTAAAAGACAAAATAATAGGAATCCGTGCAAAGAATACAGATAACACAAGTACTATAATGAGAACTATTGAAAGTTACATATTTTAATTTGTCATGTAAGTGTAATAGATTGTACTTTCTAATTTTTGCTCCTTTATCTTTTCTTAATTTATTGTTTCTATTTATTTGTATCGTTTTCCGTTTTATATGTTATGTAGCTCAGGTATATTTGTCTATGTGAAAAATAATAAAGATTTTCTTTAAACAAGAAGAAAAGAAAAAAGAAGAGAAGACAATGATTTAGATGAGATGAAGGGTTGATGTTCTTCAGAGAAAATCCCAGAGCAGTGGACCATTTTTGCAAATGTTCCTATTCAGTGTTTGAGCTGTGGTCCACCTAGTGTTTTGTCTCTTTGGTAGCCTTAACTTAGGGCTGCCATAGGTCTGGAATTTCCAGGACTTATCTAGGATTCATCTGTCAGAAACAGCGTCCGGGCGGATTTTCAGAAAATTGGTAAAAAAGCCTGGGAAAACTCATGCCAGAAGTGTTGATTTTTTGGCAAATTTCCTACAAAACAATAGCTTGAAAACATTTTGGGGGGAGATTTTGCAAACCGGACGTGACCTCTCTTTCCTGGCAAGTTTTGTTTTGTTTCCTTTTGTTTTCGGGGTGCCCCGGGGTGAGGAAGGGAGGGAAAGGGGGAGAATTCTTTTGCAGTAGAGCAGAGAAAACCGCGGCTGAGGTTTCTCTGTGCCGAAGCCGAAAAGGCTGCCTCGGAGTGAGAAAGAAAGAAGGAAAGAAAGAGAGAGAGAGAGAGAGAGAGAGAGAGAGAGAGAGAGAGAGAGAGAGAGAGAGATCGGCTGTTCTGCACTCGGAATACATTACGGAAATGAGTGCAAGATGTTCAGATTGCAGTTGGCGCAGATGTTCTTAGATGCACTTTTGCTGTCAGGGCTTCTGTCTGATCTGGAGCGAGCGAGAGACAGACAGACAGACAGACGGACAGAGTAGGCCCACGAGAGCAGAGAGGGCTGGAGGTCACTAGAGAGGGGGATATTGAGGGAAAGATCTGCCAAAAAAGCTGAAAAACATCTTCATGTATGCAACAACGGCTGCGAGAGTTTTAATAGCACAAGGCTGGAAGACTGAAGAAACCCCAACTAAAGAATCATGGCAAGGAAAAATTGATGGACTATGCAGAACTGGCAAAACTGACACATAAGCTAAGGGACAAGGATAACTGTGACTTTAAAGATGAAGGGAACCCTTTACAAAGTATCTGAAGACGCAACAAAGCAAACTGGACTCCTGGGCTGGTTTCGAAGAAACATTCGCAAACTTTTTATTGATAATAATCAGCTAAATAGTTTGAGGATCTATACAGCTGTGTAACATGCAGAAAACAGCATTCTTAGAAAAATCAAAGACTGGAACTGAGGGAAGTTGGGGGGTGGGAGTGGGAGGGTTTTGTGTGGGAGGGTGGGGAGAGGGAGGAAAAATGGGGGGGGATAAGGATGATATGTTTCTGGATAATATGTTTTGTTTTAATTTTGAATAAAAAGTTATTTAAAAAAATAGAGGGGGGATATTGCAAAGCCTTTTGGTGCAACAGGCAGCTGGGAATGGCGTGCATCTGTTGCTGACTGATGGTCCTGAAAATAAAGCAAGCCTCTAGTCCATGGGTAAGCAACCTAAGGCCTGGGGGCCGGATCCGGCCCAATTGCCTTCTAAATCCGGCCCGCGGACGATGCAGGAACCAGCGTGTTTTTACATGAGTAGAATGTGTCCTTTGATTTAAAATACATCTCTGGGTTATTTGTGGGGCATAGGAATTTGCTCATTTTTTCTTTTTCAAAATATAGCCTGGCCCCCCAAAGGTCTGAGGGACAGTGGACTAGCCCCCTGCTGAAAAAGTTTGCTGACCCCTGCTCTAGTCTAAGGTTACCAGACGTCCCCATTTCCCGGGGACATTACAAATCAGTCCCCTGACAAAATCCATCTATTTAGTAGGAAATTGAAAAGTGTCCCCAGATTCATTGAAAAAAATCTGGTAACCTTACTCTAGTCCTCCTGGTCTACAGCAGCCTTTCTCAACCTGAGGGTCCCCAGATGTTGTTGGACTACAACTCCCATCACCCCTAGCTAGAAAGCTCAGGGATGATGGGAGTTGTAGTCCAACAACATCTGGGGAGCCACAGGTTGAGAACCGCTGGTTTAGAGTGATTTAAGAACAGAAGAAGAGTGTGCTGGGTCCGGCCAACACCCCATCTAGTCCATCATTCTCTTTACACAGTCATATGCCTATAGGAGACCTGCAAGTAGGATTCGAACACAAGAGCAACTCTCCCCTCCTGTGGTTTCCAGTGACTGTGCATTTCCACCTCTGACTGTGGAAGCCGTTGAGAGCTCTCTGCCCTCTGAACTTGTCCAATTCTCTTTTAAAGCCATTGAAGGTGTTGGGCCACCACTTCCCCTTGTGGCAAGGAGTTCCACAGTTTAACTACACGCTGTTTGAAGAAGTCTATTTCCCCCCTCTGTCCCGAATTTTCCAATGTTCAGCTTCGTAGGATGTTCAAATGTTCTAAAGTTACGAGAGAAGGAGAAAAACTCCCCCTTTTTCCATGCTGTGCAAAATTGTATGAACTTCTATCTTGTCGCCTCTTACTTGCCTAATGTTATTAATGCATAATAATAATAATAATAATAATAATAATAATAATAATAATAATAGATTGAAAGCATAGTTCTGTGAAAGTGACTCTTAATGAGGCAGATGGAATATTTGTCAAAGACAGTGGTATCTTGGTTCTCAAATGCCTTGGTACTCAAACGCCTTGGTTCCCAAATGCCGAAAACCCGGAAGTGAGTGTTCCGGCTTTTGAACTTTTGTTGGAAGCCGAATATCTGATGCTGCTGTTGGCTATTGTTTTCGGGGTGCCTGAACCAATCAGAAGCTGCACCTTGCTTTTTGAAACTTTCGTTTGACTTCCAGAACAGATTAAGTTTGGCACTTTTGGTTTTTGCTATTTAATTTGCGTTTTTGTTTTTGAGGCTTTTTCGGTTAATTTGTTTTTGTGACTGTGTGGAACCCAGTTCAGCTACTGACTGATTGATTGTTTGACTGCGGAAATGGATAAAAGCCCCCCATCCAAAAAATGACTATCATCAGGGCAGGTAAGGAAAAAATAATAATTTTAATTTTTATCATCTACTATACTGTCTTATTTATTTTACAGTACAGTACATTGATTCTTGCTTTCATTTTGTGGATCGATGGTCTCGTTAGATAGCAAAATTCATGTCAAATTGCTGTTTTGGGGGTTGTTTTTAAAAGTCTGGAACGGTTTAATCCCTTTTGCATTACTTTCTATGGGAAAGCGCGCCTTGGTTTTGGAACGCTTTGGTTTTGGAACAGACTTCCGGAACGAATTAAGTTTGAGAACCAAGGTACCACTGTACCTGGCTTGAAAGTGCATCATTTTAATAAGCAGAAACCACGGTCAACGCTTAGAAGAAATTTGCAAAAGTCAATAAGTAACAACAACAACAACTTTCACACTGTTCCTGGCTGCATCCTGCTCCCACCCCCTGTTTCCTCTTGAGCCCCCCTCCCAGACAAAGAATCTCCCCTTCTCCTCCTCTCTCGACGCCAGTCTTCTCGACTTACCATGACAGCTATGAGGATAGGCACCTGAATAACCCATTTGAAGTAGCCAGCACTTAAATCCCAGCACCTGGGGAGGAAAGAGGGACGCCGTCAAGGCCAAAGTGAGAGTCAGGGCATTTTGGCCCCTGAGGCGAACCACAAAACAGGGCCCCCCACCCCCTGCCAGGGAAGAAGGTGTGAGTGAAGATCAACCTCAGGAACAAGAGAGGGATAAAAATCTACACTGAGTTCTGCTGCCCCATGGATTCTGCCGCCCGAGGCAGTTGCCTCTTGGGTGAGCCGGCCCCAATTAGTCAGGGCCAGATTTAGATTCGATGAGGCCCTGAGCTACTGAAGGTAATGGGGCCCTATATATGTCCAGCTGCCCTTCGTCAACAACAAATTGTCACTGTTTTGTGTGTGTTGAATATATGATTAAAAATACATTAAAATGTCACACATTAAAAGCTTCCCTGAACAGGGCTGCCTTCAGATGTCTTCTAAAAGTCTGGTAGTTGTTTTTCTCTTTGGCATCTGCTGGGAGGGCGTTTCACAGGGCGGGAGCCACCACTGAGAAGGCCCTCTGCCTGGTTCCCTGTAACCTCACTTCTCGCAGGGAGGGAACCGCCAGAAGGCCCTTGGAGCTGGACCTCAGTGTCCACGCAGAAGAGCTGGGATAGAGCCCCGGGCTCTTTAAGAAAGGGAAAGAGTAGCTTATAGACTTACTCTGTGTCTGCAAACGTCGCCCTTAACGTTGCCCAGAATGTAACAAACACAACAGGGAGCCCTGGAAGAGAAAAGGAATTGAGGCGGGTGAAAACAGGGCATTATAGTGTCACTTTGCAGGAACATGCGAAGCTGCCTTATATTGAGTCAGACCATAGGGTCCATCTAGTTCAGTAGTTTGACGTGTTTTCATTTTGTGTGGAACTAAACGGCTCAGGGCCGCAATAGCAAAAGGATGGCCTCTCCCTGTATGAACCTACCTGGACCCTGAGACCCTCATCTGAGGCCCTCCTTTGTGTGCATCCTCCACGAGAGGCCCAGAGGGCGGCAACACGAGAACAGGGCCTTTTCTGTGGTGGCTCCCCGTTGGGAGGAATGCTCTTCCCAGGGAGGTTCACCTGTCGCCTTTGTTTCACATCTTCAGGTGCCAGGTGAAAACGTTCCTCCAGTGGTGTAGCATGGGTTGCAGGCACCCAGGGCAGGCAAACCACTGGTACCACTGGGAGCGACCCACCCTCAGAGCCAAAACTGAAGCACAAAGCTGCATAGTTCTCCCTCGTTGCCCTTGCTCCTCCTGTCCCTCTGCTGACCCCTCCCCCTTACATGTGTAAGCTCCTTGGGGCAGAGACCTGGAGGATTTCCGTTTGCTGCTGCTTACACTGTAAAGAACGGCGTTCATGGGCACAAATTGTATTTTTACATTGTCCATTGATCAGGCCCCCTCTCGCACACCCAGACACATGCTTTCCACAAAGCCTCAACGGGTGGCACCGCCGAAATTGACTTCTATAGCATCCACATTGCATGCGCTGTGCATCTCCAGTCTATAAACACAGTGTGTACAATGCAGGTCCTATAAGGTCAGGTCATCTCAGCTGAAGCTGGCCAAGAGGGTGCTGCTACTAACAATAATAATAATAATAATTTATTATTTATACCCCGCCCATCTGGCTGGGTTCCCCCAGCCACTCTGGGCGGCTTCCAACAAAACACTAAAATACAATAACCTATCAAACATTAAAAGCTTCCCTAAACAGGGCTGCCTTTAGATGTCTTCTAAAAGTTTGGTAGTTATTTTTCTCTTTGACAACTGGTGGGAGGGCATTCCACAGGGCGGGTGCCACTACCGAGAAGGCCCTCTGCCTGGTTCCCTGTAACTTGGCTTCTCACAGGGAGGGAACTGCCAGAAGGCCCTCGGCGCTGGACCTCAGTGTCCAGGCTGGACGATGGAGGTGGAGACGCTCCTTCAGGTATACTGGACCAAAGGCCGTTTATACTGGACCAAGGCCCTGAGCTGCCTCCCCACTCTCCATAACTGGAATGAACCAGGGAAAGGGCCAAATGACCTGATAGGTGCCCTCAGAGGGGCAGTGGTCTGAGGTTGCAGGGGGTCAAAGAACCATGACTATTTCTGCAGGAGGGTCTCTGCCTCCAGCATCCTAGAGATGCCCAGTCAGAATGAAAGGGCCACTGAGAAGACACTTCCCCTCTCTTAAGGCCTTAAGAAATGCATGCAGGATCAGGCCAATGGCCCATCTAGTCCAGCAAACCCTTCTCGCTTTGGTTGACCAGATGCCTCTGGGAAACTAGGGAGGAGAACATGAGCTTGCACTCTCCTTTTGTGGGTTCCAGGAACTGGTTTTCAGAAGCATTGCTGCCTCCAACTGCATAGACCCTCCAATATTTCTCCAATGGAAACAGGGACAACCTGTTCCATTCCCTCCAATATTTCTCCAATGGAAACAGGGATGTGCTATCCATTCCCTCCAATATTTCTCCAATGAAAACAGGGACATCCTATCCCATTCCCTCCAATATTTCCAGAATGAAAACAGGGACGTCCTATCTATGCCCTCCAATATTTCCAGAATGAAAACAGGGACGTCCTAAGGAAAAGTGGGACATTCCACTATCAATCAGAAACCAGGATAGCTTCTGTAAATCAAGGACTCTCCCTGGAAAATAGGGACACTTGGAGGGTCTGCAACTGTGGAGTCAGACATAGTCATTGACAGCCCTCTCCCCCACGAATTTGTCTAATCCTCTTTTAAGCCATCTGAGTCGGCCGCTATCGCAGCCATGCACCCTCCTTGCACTTGATGAGATTATGCTATTTCGAGAACCTTCCCTTCCCTGAAGCACCACTCCATGGAAACAGAATGGCTCCAGCTAATGAGCTGCGCACCCTTCATCACCACATCCTGTTTTCAACTGCAACTCCACTTCCTCTGAAAATTGCAGGTTGCCGCTCTTCCAGGCGTCGACGTACCTGAGGCAGCCCCTGCTAACTTCAAATAGACCTTGGAGGGCCCCCCTCTTGATGTGAGCGGAAGGAAGAGGGGAAAGGGAATGGGTGGGAGAAAGGAGGATGAGGGGCTCCCTCAGGACCCCACAATCCGGCTGAGGTGAGCCTGCCTTGTGACGTTGACAAACCCAGGAGGACAAGGGACACTGGCGTTTGTGGTTTCAAAATGGCAGCCTGGCTCTCTCCTCGACCTTGTCTTACGCTCTCTGGACAGATGCAGGCCCCGTTCTTAAATTTTGTACCTTCCTGGTGCCCTGAGCTGATGGACATTGCAGGGACACAGCCCAGTTCAGCTTCCTTGGGACAAGAGACTGGTGTGTTCTTACTTTTTTTACTTTTTGCCACATGGGTTTATTTGAAAATATACAAGTGGAGGAGGAGGAAAGCGTGCAGATGGAGCTTGCTTTTTTTGAAGGCTTCACCAGTTTTTCCCCAAAGCAAGCAACACACCCTTGGAGACCCCATTCCAGGCCCCAGCAAACATCCGCCTTGTTTACTGACTATATTCTAAACCCGAAATGTTGTTTTCTAGCTCCATCCAAGCAGATAGGTGCGCCATGGTAGCCACAAGACATCAAAAGTTATCAATGAAACATCTACCCATTGCTGTCCTGTTTTAGCTATTAAGACCAAACAAAGTTGCCCCTCCAGACCCAATTATGTTTCCATTACGATATGTTCCTGAGGGTTTGTTGCCACTGTTGAAAAAAGGCTTCCCTGTTCAGCTCCACATCACCTCAGAAACTTATAGACATTCTGATAACATGGAGTCATCACAGTTAGCGATAGGTGGACTCCCTTAGCTCAGTTTCTAATGCATTCAGAAACACATATCCCATGTTAGCCCTACTCAGAGTAGAGCCATTTTTATTCCATTCTCACAAAGGTCCTGGAAATGTGAGGGGGATCTGCAGCAAATCACAAATGTGTAGTTGACAGATAGTCACAAACAGGGGACTCCATGATGTCATATTTCCTAAACTTGTGTGGCAGGAAGGGGAAAAATAAAAACTTAACCTTCTTTCTTTTACTACACACTCTGTCTCTTACCTGCAATGGAGCTCTCCTCCCAACAGAACACTCCATTTTGAACTGGACTGTGGACTTTTCTAACTTTCAAGAATTATTGCCTGCCTGATTTTCATCCCTGCATCCGTTGAAGCCTGACAAGACTTTTAATGTGAGTAAACCTTATGCAGTGGTACCTCTGGATGTGCACACCTCTGGTTAAGTATCCTTTGGGTTACGCACGTGGCAAACCCGAAAGTATTTTTCCGGGTTTCACCCCACGCGCATGCGCAGAAGAGCTCTACTGCACTGTGCGCATGGGCAGAACAGGCACACCTGGTTGTGAATTCCTCGGGATCCAACCAGAGCTCTGGAATGGATCCAGTGCTCAACCGGACGTACCACTGTATTTTCCTGTTTACATAAAAGTCTGAGAGTGATTTCTTTGTTCAGAGGGAAACATAAAAAGGGAGAAAGCAACCCAAGTTTGCCTAGGCATCCTTGGGTATCATAATTGTTCTGGTTTATGCAACCTTGTCCCAAACAGCTTCTAGAGAAAACCTGTGCACAGATGGTGCTTTCTCTCTCTCTCTCTCTTTTTTGCATGTAGGTTTTATTTTATTTGTTTTTTATCTTATATTATGGAAATGTACATCCAGGTTTTTTCCTTTAATTTTTTGGGGGGTCCCCAACAGAGTGGGTCCTGCCCACCTAGCAGTTCGAAAGCACCCCCAAGTGCAAGTAGATAAATAGGTTCCGCTTTATAGCGGGAAGGTAAACAGCGTTTCCGTGTGCTGCGCTGGTGCTGGCTCGCCAGAGCAGCTTCGTCACGCTGGCCACGTGACCCGGAAGTGTCTCCGGACAGCGCTGGCCCCCGGCCTCTTAAGTGAGATGGGCGCACAACCCTAGAGTCGGACACGACTGGCCCGTACGGGCAGGGGTACCTTTACCTTTTTAACAGAGTGGGGCCTTAAGCTTTAGCTTGTTTAGCTTATACGTAAATCCAGCACTGTAACCACCTCAAGGACTATAGGTGAGCTTCAGGATCAAAATTGTACATCTCTACATAATACATAATTTTGTTTGTATGCTGCCCTTCCACAGCTCAAACCATGCACAAGGCAGCTTACAACATCAAAATAAATAAATAACTGCAGCATAAAAAAGTAGTCAAAAGCAATAAATAAAGCATCAAAAAATGCACAACCAAATCTCTGCTGAAATAATAATAATAATAATAATAATAATAATAATAATAATAATAATAAATTTTATTTATATCCCGCCCTCCCCAGCTGAAGCCGGGCTCAGGGCGGCTAAGAACAATAAAATAGTACAACATTCTAAAATCATTCATTCTAAAATCAATTCAGAATCAAATTAATGGCAACCATTGGGCTAGAGTTCTGTGAAGATTGCCAAAGGAGGGAGTCAGGCTGTTCCCTGACCAAAGGCCTGGTGGAACAGCTCTGTCTTGCAGGCCCTGCAGAAAGATGTCAAGTCCCACAGGGCCCTAGTCTCTTGTGGCAGAGCGTTCCACCAGATTGGAGCCACAGCCGAAAAAGCCCTGGCTCTAGTTGAGGCCAGCCTAACCTCTCTGTTTGCCTGGGACCTTCAAGATGTTTTTGTTTGAAGACTGTAAGTTCCTCTGTGGGACATACCAGGAGAGGTGGTCCCGTAGGTACGAGGGTCCTAGGCCGTATAGGGCTTTAAAGGTTAAAACCAGCACCTTGAACCTGAATAGGTATCTGCATTCTCACACAGGTGAAAAGAGGAAGGATAATTACCAAACAAAATATCATCTCTTACTCATCTAAATTAATCCAACAGGAAAATCCAAACCCAGGGCTCATCTGCTGTCCTCTCCTGGGGAAAAGAACTACCAATTTCTTTTTCTCAAATCATCTCCCGACGTTACTAAAAGTCCATTTTCTCATATCCACATCACTACACAAACATGCCCCATCTATCTCCTTGATCAGGTAATCTCTCAAACCACCCGGGAAACTCTGAGCAGTTGAGTAAGGCTGACGAGAGGCAAGACTCACCCCAGCCAAATAACGTGAATCCCCAAAGGTACTTCTTCTCCGAGAAGAAGGCCATGAAGATGAGGCTGTGAAGGTAGAGCCCTTCCACCAGGATCCAGTAGTAGTTGGTGGCCAGGAAGTAAAGGAACAAGGTCACTGCTACCTTGCAACCCACCTGAGAGAGTTGAGAGAAAGGGAAATGAGGAGGGAAAGGGGGTTAATACAGCAGAACACTTAGAACGGCCACAATCTTCTTGGCAAGACCCAACCTCACCACCAACATTATATTAGGAGCTGGTCCAGTTATGAGCACGAACTTGACATTTATAATATATCTGGACCAACCTGAAGAAGGCATATGAAACGAAGATCTTAAATGGACGTCTCATTGCTGGATGTCCTTTGCGTACACAGTCCTTATCTACAAGATTTACTACAAGGTTGAACTCTCAATCTCAGTTATATTGAATAGCAAATTGTCTCAAGGCAATTCTTAAAAAAAAAAAAGTAGTATAAACAGTGACAACTGGGAAACACTGGCCTGCGAGTGCTCCAGTTGGAGAACAGCCTTTTCCAATGGTGTCATGGGCTTTGAAGACACTCGAACTCAGGACACAAGGGAGAAACGTGCTAAGAGGAAGGCACGCTTGGCAAATCCACACTGTGATCAGCTCCTGCACGGAAACCAATGTCCCCACTGTGGAAGGACGTGTGGATCCAGAACTGGCCTCCACAATCACTTACGGACTCACTGTTAAAACCGTGTTTATGGAAGACAATCTTACTCGGCTACGAGGGATCGCAGAAGAAGAATAAGAAGAATTGTTGCAGACGGTTTGGGTTTCATTTTTAACATTGTCAGTGATTTGAACGCAGATCCTTATCAGTGGCATGTTTGATTGCAAAGACACCCACCCCTTCGGGAGTGAATGAGCAGCAGTTAGATTTCATAACATGTTACCAGACATGGATTCTTGGATTAAATGAGAGAAGAATGAGGGAAGCAGAGAAAGGATTTTGGGGCTTGATTTGAGAGAGAAAGAGAGAGAGAGAGATTGTGTGTGTGTGTGTGTGTGTGTGTGTGTTCTAGAATGGGGAGCGGTGCCATCTAGTGGCTAAGGGATATTAACCACTGGGAATACAGGTGAAACTCGGAAAATTAGAACATTGTGGGAAAGTTCATTTATTTCAGTAATTCAACACAGACTGTGGAAACTTCACACTGGACTTCAAGCATCTGGCATTGCGTGCCTCCCAATTCTTCCTCCAAACTCTGGGTCCTTGGTTTCCAAATGAGATGCAAAAGCTGCTCTCATCAGAAAAGAGATTTGGGGAGCCATGTCATCAGCTGGTGTTGGTCCACTGTGCTTCATTAAGTCCAGGGTCAACGCAGCCGTCTACCAGGAGATTTTGGAGCACTTCATGCTTCCTTCCGCAGACGAGCTTTATGGGAATGCTGACTTCATTATCCAGCAGGACTTTGGCACCTGCCCACACTGCCAAAAGTACCAAAACCTGGTTCAATGCCCATGGGATTACTGTGCTTGATTGGCCAGCAAACTTGCCTGACCTGAACCCCATAGAGAATCTATGGGACATTGCCAAGAGAAAGATGAGAGACTTGAGACCGAGCAATGCAGAAGAGCTGAAGGCTGCTGTTGAAGCATCCTGGTCTTCCATAACACCTCAGCAGTGCCACAGGCTGATAGCATCCATGCCACGCCGCATTGAGGCAGTAATTGATGCAAGAGGGGCCCAAACCAAGTACTGAGTACATACGCATGCTTCTACTTCTCAGAGGTCCAATATTGGTCTATTTGCAATCCTTGTTTTGCTGATTTCATTTAATACAAAAGGAGCAGAAAATACTATTTATGTATGCGATGACAGCAGCGCAGATATTCTTGGCCTAGACATGGAAGGATGACAAAATTCCTACCAGAGAAGAATGGCTGATAAAGGTGATGGATTATGCTGAAATGGCAAAAATGACCGAGAAGATTAGAAACCGAGAAGGTAAAAACTTTAACGAGGAATGGGGAAATTTTATAAGTTATCTTGGAGAACACTGTAAACAATTAGAAACATTGGCAGGATTGTAATAACACTTGTAAAGTAAAAAGAACTATGGTAACAATGGAAATTCAGGAAAAAATGGAGAACATTATTAGATGCAGTTGGAAAAGATTTACAACGAAACCCACGGAAAGGTGAACGGAAGTCTAAGGATCCGAGAATCCTATATGTTTATGATTATGTTTTCTGTTCTGTTTAGTCATTTAGTGGTGTCCGACTCTTCGTGACCCCCTGGACCAGAGCACGCCAGGCACTCCTGTCTTCCACTGCCTCCCACAGTTTGGTCAAGCTCATGTCCGTAGCTTCGAGAACACTGTCCAACCATCTCGTCCTCTGTCGTTCCCTTCTCCTTGTGCCCTCCATCTTTCCCAACATCAGGGTCTTTTCCAGGGAGTCTTCTCTTCTCCTGAGGTGGCCAAAGTATTGGAGCCTCAGCTTCAGGATCTGTCCGTCCAGTGAGCACTCAGGGCTGATTTCCTTCAGAATGGAAAGGTTTGATCTTCTTGCAGTCCATGGGACTCTCAAGAGTCTCCTCCAGCACCATAAATCAAAAGCATCCATTCTTCGGCAATCAGCCTTCTTGATGGTCCAGCTCTCACTTCCATACATCACTACTGGTAAAACCATAGCTTTTACTATACGGACCTTTGTTGGCAAGGTGATGTCTCTGCTTTTTAAGATGCTATCTAGGTTTCTCATTGCTTTTCTCCCAAGAAGCAGGCGTCTTTGACAACAGGCATATGTTTTCTATTTGAATGTAAATGTTAATTATAAAATCAAGTAATAATAAAAAAGAGGACAGGATTCTGGACTATGTGGGCCACTGGACTGACGCAACCGCCTCTTCTGATGCTCTTATGGTCATAATCATCATTTTTTAATTTGTATACCGTCTTTCTATTTTACAATACTCAAGGCGGTTTACAAGCTGAAGAAACAAAAAATGTACACCTCACAACAATCTAATGCAATACAAAAATGTGATAATAATACACAACTTTAAAATAAGCAACCCACATCAAAAAGTAACATTCAACCATTATTAGAGTATAATAATAATTAATAATAATAATAATAATAATAATAATAATACAATTTATTTATCCCCAGCCAGAGCTGGGATCAGGGCGGCCAACACCAGTAAAATTACTGTAAAATCGTAATAGGGGAAAAAACAAACCCCAATTTAAAATACTGGTTAAAATGCAATTTAAAATCCAGCCTCATTTTAAAAGTAGCCCATAGATCAAGACCATAAGGGGAGGGAAAACATAAGCGTCAGACTGAGTCCAAACCAAAGGCCAGGCAGAACAGCTCTGTCTTGCAGGCCCTGCGGAAAGATGTCAAGTCCCGCAGGGCCCTAGTCTCTTGGGACAGAGCGTTCCACCAAGTCGGGGCCAGTGCTGATAAGGCCCTAGTTGAGACCAATCTAACCACCTTGTGACCTGGGACCTCCAAAATGTCATTTGTGGACCTTAAGGTCCTCCGCGGGGCATACCAGGAAAGGCGGTCCTGTAGGTATGTGGGTCCTAGGCCACATAAACTATGAAGTAATAATATCAACATATAAAAGTTAAACAGAAATCCACTCAACAGTTCCAATAAATAATTTCTAAACTATAATCAATAAAACAATGGCAAGCCACAATACATAAAATAATACAATACAGAAATGACTGGCAGAATCCGAGACCAGGGAGAAGAGTCGGTGGAAGAAGATTGGAGGAAATTTAAAATTTATTTACAGAAACATTGTAAAATGTATGAATGTTGATGACATTGAAATGAAATGAAGGGGTTCTAGTAACAAGATATAATGTAAGACTGGATTGATAATAGATAAAAATTTGAAATTATAATTTGGGAGGAAAAACAATTAAGGATAAAGTAATAGGATATGAATTTGCTGAACCAATTTTTAAAAAGGGATACAAAAAAGGGAGGCGTGAGGAAGTCAGGAAAATAAGTTAATCAAAGATGAGAAATTAAAAAAGAGGGATTTGTGTTTTTCTTTTTTGTGCGCTTATTTTTCTTTTCTTTTTCTTTTTCTTCTTCCCCCCCCCTTGTTAGGTTAAATGTTTGTATTTTCCTATTGTGTAATTTTGTATTGTTGTGTTTTATATTTTTCTTGTGTTTTTATTGTTCTTTGTTTGTTGTTTTGGAATTTCTCTATTGTTAAAACTTAATAAAATATTATTATAAAAATAAAATAAAATAATACAATACAAATTGAGAAGCAGAGACTAGAGGGCGGAGCAAGGCAGGGGGAAGGAGGCCTTGCCTGACAAAGTCTCTCTCCTCTCCTCACAGTTCTTCCTCCAGGCACAGCTTCCTTATGAGGAGTCCCAGGGCCAGGGGGTGGGGCAAGGAAGGTGGATGGAGGCCTTGCCTGATGGAGTCTCTCCCCTCCTCTTCTGGGATTTTGCGATGCCCACCAGTTTTCTAACACACCCCTGTTTTAATCGTCGAATCCAGTAGAGGTGTTGTATCGGGGGTTGCTGCTGCCCCGGGGCTCATACTCACCAACTGGGACTTGTCTGCTGGAGGTGCCTCCGTGATGGACTTGAAGTCCTCTTCCGAGATCCGCTCCATCTCCTCCAGTGCCGAGCCGGAGTACAGGACGGCGTCCTTCACGAAGATGCTGATGGCTCGCAGCATGTAGGAGACAAACAGGTGCATGTGGATGTAATTCCTTGTGCAGTGCAAGCGCCTGACGTGGGAAACAGAAGGCAGAAGAAGGATGAGTTGTGGGGAGAAGGACCATCTCTTAGGTTAGCAACAATGTACAGAACTGCTACAAATATATGCTGGAAATGTAAAGAAAAGGAAGGCACTTTCTACCATATGTGGCGGAAGTGCAAGATAACAAAAGCATTCTAGGAAACGATATATAACGGAAAAAATGTTTAAGGTAACTTTTGTGACAAAACCAGAAGCCTTTTTAATAGGAATTACAGGTGAAGAGATACCAAAAGAGCAGAAAAGACTATTTATGTATGCGACGACAGCTGTGAGGATGCTTACATTAAAAACCTGACAGTACCAAATTATCGAAGGTTATTCACCAAAGCCAGACCAAACGTCTTTCCTTCCGCAGTGTTGGATGGTAGGTTGAGAGGAGTTCCCTACCAGGACAGACTTTCCTCATGTCCTCAAGACATCGATTCCATAAAACATATTTTGTTGCGCTGTGCAAAATATGAGCAAGCCAGGACTGAACTGATATTACCCTTGCTGGTACCTTTCCCAGGAAAATCAGAGGCTCACTATGTCAGGTTCCTATTGGAAGACCGGACAAACGCTAGAACATTAGCAGTGGCAAAGTTTTTATCGTTGGTTGCAAGAACCAATGATCCCTATATTCTGAACAAAATGCTTGTTTAACCTGGAGGTAAAAAGGTAAAGGTACCCCTGCCCGTACGGGCCAGTCTTGACAGACTCTGGGGTTGTGCGCCCATCTCACTCAAGAGGCCAGCGCTGTCCGGAGACACTTCCGGGTCATGTGGCCAGCATGACAAGCTGCATCTGGCGAGCCAGCGCAGCACACGGAAACGCTGTTTACCTTCCCGCCAGTAAGCGGTCCCTATTTATCTACTTGCACCCGGGGGTGCTTTCGAACTGCTAGGTTGGCAGGCGCTGGGACCGAGCAACGGGAGCGCACCCCGCCGCGGGGATTTGAACCGCCGACCTTTCGATCGGCAAGCCCTAGGCGCTGAGGCTTTTACCCACAGCGCCACCCGTGTCCCTATAACCTGGAGGTAGGCTGCATGAATTGTGTATTGCTTTGTAATGATTTGTTGGGTCTCTGGACCATAATAAAGGTTGTTGTTGTTGTTATACAATTCCATTCAACATATAGATGGGTTGATGAAGCATTTCTGTATCCTTCTGCTGCGCTGAAGAAGAATTCTACGAAACAGTGGGTATATCTGGAATCGCTGTTCACTACGTCTGTTTGCGAACCACTTCGGCAGCGTTGGGCGTCATAAAACAAAGCTTTGCGGCTTGTTTTCATCAAAATCTGACCCATTGCTTCTTTCAGAGACTTGCATAGTCTACAAAGACTTTCAGAGACTTATAAGACTTACTTTCAGAGATTTATGAGATTCTGTTTATTGGGTTTTTCATATTGTTCAACGTTCCGTATAGATTATATAAAGAGTTTTTACTGATACTGCATTGTTGTACTTGGTCATCATGTTGCCTTGGATATTACTGATAATTGTTTGCAACACAGGGGTTTAATTGTTTGGTTGCACACACTGCATATGGCAGTGCAGACAAGAAGTTGCAGCTACTTACCTGAAGTATCCTAGGATAAGGACAGCGATGGTTAGGGACCCCAGCGAGATGGAATAGCCGACAGTATAAATCAAATAGAGGCGATCGAAGACTTCCTGAAGCAAACACAAAGTAAGGGGAGAAAGAGAACGTTAAGGGAATTGCATTGAGAAACTGTCGTTAATTTTATTTCTCTGTATAGGAGCACAGGGAGCTGTTTTATACGGAGTCAGACCATTGGTGCAAGAAGATCAAACCTCTCCATTCTGAAGGAAATCAGCCCTGAGCGCTCACTGGGAGGACAGATCATGAAGCTGAGGCGCCAATACTTTGACCACCTCATGAGAAGAGAAGACTCCCTGGAAAAGACCCTGATGTTGGGAAAGATGGAGGGCACAAGGAGAAGGGGACGACAGAGGACGAGATGGTTGGACCGTGTTCTGGAAGCTACGAACATGAGTTTGACCAAACTGCGGGAGGCAGTGGAAGACAGGAGTGCCTGGCGTGCTCTGCTCCAGGGGGTCACGAAGAGTTGGACACGACTAAACAACAACAACAACAATTTGATCAAACAGGTTTTTAGAAAGAAGCAGACTTCAGTGGTGGCCCTGTATCTCTGGAACTCTCCACCAAAGGAATTATACAAGGTTCCACTTTCGCCACCGTTGAAACCAATGTTGAAAACATGTTTCTTCCCTTCAGCATTTTACTAAAAGTGGGCTTTGACCTGCTGCCATTTTCGGTTTTGTAACTGGATTGCTTTACTTCCGATCTTTTTATTCTACTTTGCAGTTATTGTCTCCCGAAGCAGCTGAGATCAATTATGTGGAGAGAGAGAGAGAGAGAGATGTATTTAAAAGTGGGTTTCTATTGTTTTAATGCTGCTTGAAAGACTGCCTCTGGGCTGTCGAGTATTTTGCAGAAAGGGTTTCAAGGCTCTTTAGGCTGGCGCAATTAACGTGGATTAAAGCTGTCTGCCGCTCCAGCCCGGGGTACCCATTTGAAGGACAACAGTGGGCTTTTTGCGGTTAGGGATGTGACAGGGAGATGCATTGAAAAATGTGGGATGAATAAATGATGAACGGGGGAAAGTGTAAACACCACGGAAGCCAATCGGGGAGAATGCAAGATGAATCCTCATTGTTGCACAACTTCTCTGCAAGCAAATCAGAGCAAATGCTCCATAAATATAATCTACGCTCTGTTGATAAGCTTCAGGAAAAGACAGTGGTACCTTGGTTCTCAAACGCCTTGGTACTCCAATGCCTGGGTTTTCAAATGCCGAAAACCCAGGAGAAGCGTTTCGGTTTTCGAACGTTTTTCGGAAGCCGAACGTCCGATGTGGCTGTCGGCTATGGTTTCTGCATTGCCTGCACCAATCAGAAGCTGCGCCTTGGTTTTTGAACATTTTGGAAGTCAAACGGACTTCCAGAACGGATTAAGTCTGGCGCTTTTGTTTTTGCTATTCATTTTGGTTTTTTGAGGCTTTTTCGGTTAATTTGTTTTTGTGACTGTGTGGAACCCAGTTCAGCTACTGATTGATTGATTGATTGTGTGACTGCGGAAATGGATAAAAGCCCCCCATCCAAACAATGACTATCAACAGTGCAGGTAAGAATTTAATATTTTTTTTAAAAAAACCATCTGCAATACTGTCTTATTTATTTTATAGTACAGTACATTGATTATTGCTTTCATTTTATGGATCAATGGCCTTGTCAGATAGTAACAATCATGTTAAAATTGCTGTTTTAGGGTTTGTTTTTAAAAGTCTGGAACGGATTAATCCCTTTTGCATTACTTTCTATGGGAAAGCACGCCTTGGTTTTGGAACGCTTTGGTTTTGGAACAGACTTCCAGAACAGATTAAGTGTGAGAACCAAGGTAGCACTGTAATGAAAGATGAATTGATTGTCTGGAGGAGACTTAAGTCAGCTTGGGCAGGATTTGCCCTGAACCGTGTCATATAATAGGGACAGGGGTAGCCTGAGCATAGCAATCCATGCACCGATAACCTCAAGGCTGGATTACTACAATAAACTCTTTGTGGGGCTCAACATATTAATTTACATAGTCCTGAACAACTTAGGTCCAGGTTATATCAGAGCTCGCCTGAACCCTTCTATCCCAGCTTGATCACTGAGATTATCTGAAGGTGCATCGCTGGTCATGAGTTGGCGAGGCTCATTTGACAATGAGAAACCGAGCCTTTCGTGCCATCAGCCAAGTCCTGCGGAACTCTCTGCCACTAGAGATTCAGTGGGCCAGCTTTTCAAAAACGCCTGCTGAAAACTTCTCTTTTTCTGCCAGACCAATGCAGGCAGTTAAGGATACATCTTCCCACAACAGTTAAGCGAAATCTGGTTTTATTTATCATTTATAATATTATTATTATTAATTTGTTTTTTGTGTACCCAGCACATCTGACTGGCTTGTCCCAGCCACTCTGGGCGGCTTCCAACAGACTATACAAACTGATTTAGTTCATAAAGTTTACATGCTGCTGGGTCATAAAAAACAACTTTCAGAAAAAGATGGTTGTCATTAATTAAAAAATTAGAAACAATAATTTAATTGAAAATGTACTGTACGAACAATAAGATGCTTGCAGAAATAGAGTGATACTGATAACCAAGAATTATTCAAAATGTAATAGTGGATTATATATCTATAAACACAATAAAATAATATGAATCTGTGCAAGGAATACAGATAACATAAGTAGTATAATGAGAATTATTGGAAGTTACATATTTTAATTTGTTATGTAAGTGTAATATATTGTATTTGTTTATGTTTGTTTTTCTAACTTTTCTTACTTTATTGTTTTTATTCATTTGTATCATCTTTTGTATTACATGTTGTGTATATTTGTCGATGTGTGAAAATAAAGGTTTTCTAAAATGAATTTTAAAAAATAATTTAACATTTTGATAGACTGGAAACAGGTTTAAACTCTCATCTCATTGCTTTTTCTGGTTTTTGTTGCATGCTTTTATGTTGGGAAATGCTTTGAGATTTTATGAGCTGGGGGCCTGTAAATATATATTTTATTTTCCCCCATAAATGATTTTTATCGGTTTTACATATTTATTCATAAAAATGTATATAAAGAAATGAGCAAACGATGGCAGCCCTTTCTCCAATGGGACATTCAGAAAACCCGTGGCTGATCTTAAGCCCAGATCTTTCCACCCTTTGTGAGACCTTCTCCATAGCTGTCAACTTACAGATTTGAAAATAAGGGACCAGCAGCCTCGAAAATAAGGGATCAGCAGCCAAAATAAGGGATTTTCCGGACACAGGTACGTTCAACTTCTGAGCCCCTCCGAGCCAAAGGCAGAAAGCCCAGCCAGCAGCCAAACGAAGCCTCAAGCGGTGGTTCCCACAGCGCAGCAACCCGGCAAAGGGGATGCAGCAAGGAAAACCACCGTCACCTCTCCGCTGGGAAGCGCTGAGCAAAGGTGAGTCCCCAGGGAACATGTCCGATTTGATCGGCACAAGGCATGCAAGCTCCACCCCCCCGTCGTTCTTAGACTCCTTATTGGGTGAGCAACACAGCCAAGCAACACAGTTGGAGCCTCCCTCCTCCCTGGCCGGCAGGGAGGGAGGGAGAGGAGCTGCTTCCTTTGAAACCCGGGAAATTTAAGGGACATCATCAATAAGGGACAGCAGTGGGACACAGTGCTCAGATAAGGGACTTTCCCGCCAAATAAGGGACAGTTGACAGCTATGCCTTTTCCCTCTCCTCGCTGCAAAAAACCCCTCACCCCTTTCCCCTTGCAAGTTTCAGTAAGGCAGGCGAAACCAGAGAGCTTTTGAAATGACATCTCTGGTTTTCGATCTGCCTTTGGAGAGAGCAGCTCCGGAATGCAAACCTCAGCCCTATTACATCAGAATCCCCAGGACCTGGGAATGTTTTCCTGGCTGTATTCACCGCTGGAAATGTGCGCTTGCCAAACTTAATCTATTCAGAAGCTAAATAAACACGAGAGGCAATAGCCGCGGTTGAATTCAGCCGGTGGGCATGGACGCAGCGAAACGGTGCCTTTCCCCCCCCATGCGCAGGGTTCGCACCGGGAAGTCAGGTATCTGGGCTGCACCAGCCTGTTGCTCTCTCTTTGCTCCCTGAAAGGCCACATTCATGGACCACGTATTTAAAGCTCCTTGAAACAGTCCTGGCTTGCCCCAAAGAATTCTGGGAGCTGTAGTTTGTGGAACTGGTCCCATCACCTCCTGGCAAATAGAAGGGGAAGAAATGGAGGCAGTGAGAGATTTTACTTTCTTGGGCTCCATGATCACTGCAGATGGTGACAGCAGCCACAAAATTAAAAGATGACTGCTTCTTGGGAGAAAAGCAATGGCAAACCTAGACAGCATCTTAAAAAGCAGAGACATCACCTTGCCAACAAAGGTCCGTATAGTTAAAGCTATGGTTTTCCCAGTAGTGATGTATGGAAGTGAGAGCTAGACCATAAAGAAGGCTGATCGCCGAAGAATTGATGTTTTTGAATTATGGTGCTGGAGGAGACTCTTGAGAGTCCCATGGACTGCAAGAAGATCAAACCTCTCCATTCTGAAGGAAATCAGCCCTGAGTGCTCACTGGAAGGACAGATCCTGAAGCTGAGGCTCCAAGACTTTGGCCACCTCAGGAGAAGAGAAGACTCCCTGGAAAAGACCCTGATGTTGGGAAAGATGGAGGGCACAAGGAGAAGGGGGCGACAGAGGATGAGATGGTTGGACAGTGTTCTCAAAGCTACCAGCATGAGTTTGACCAAACTGCGGGAGGCAGTGGAAGACAGGAGTGCCTGGCGTGTTCTGGTCCAGGGGGTCACGAAGAGTCGGACACGACTAAACAACAACAATAAGCAATGCAGCCAACCCCGCCTGATGGAAATGTTTGTTTGTGGAGTTAATGAAACCAGCTTACCCTTTCCGTGGTGTTGATGGTGAGGAACTTGGCGCACTCGCTGTAGTTGGCCCAAGTGCGGTTGTTGCTGGGCACCAGAGCCCAGCTCCCGTTCAAGTCACACCGTCGATAGGCATGGCCTAGGAAGGAAGAGAAGAAACGAGAGTTCAGGCGAGGCAAGGCAGCAGTTCGGGATGGGCGAATCTCTGTCTCTGTTACTCCCCATTTCTTGGCTTTCCAGTCTTTATTTCTGGTCTCCATTTGTGATTCTCCCCACTCTCCTCAGCATCTTAGCATAAATTTCTCTTATTCCGCATATTTTTGCAGGCAGGTTTCTGCAAAAAGCCATTTCCCCCGAATGCATTTCTGCACGTTATTTTTCGCTAATAAATGCATTTTTGTGCAGAGATACATTTTTAACACACCCTCCTCAGAATCTTAGCACAAATTTCTCTTATTCTGCATATTTTTGCAGGCAGGTTTCTGCATTTTTGTGCACAGATACCATATTTTTCACTGTATAAGATGCACCTTTCCTTCCTAAAAAGTAAGGGGAAATGTGTGTGTGTCTTATGGAGTGAATGCAGGCTGCGCGGCTAAGCCAGAAGCCAGAACAGCGAGAGGGAGCACTGCGCGCGGGGAGCCTTCACCTCCCACAAAAGCACGCACGCTACGCACACTCTTTAAAGGGAGCGCAGCTCTTGGGGGCTTTTCCCCGAGGAGGAAGGAGGGCAACCCATCAGTGACGGGCTGCCCTTCTCCCTCCTCAGGGAAAAGCCTGCAAGCGCCGCACACACGCTCCACGCGGCTCGTGAAAGGGAGCGCTGAGCAGAGCCTGGGATGCAGACAGGTTCTGCTCAGTGCTCCCTTTAAAGAATATTTTGTCCTTACATTCCCCCTCTAAAAACTAGGTGTGTTATGGAGTGAAAAGTACGGCACATTTTTAGCACACACTCCCCAGCATTTTAGCGCAAATTTCTTATTCCGCATATTTCTGCAGGCAGGTGTCTGCAAAAATTTTTCGATCATAAATGCATTTTTGTGCGCAGGTACATTTTTAGCACACATCACTTGGCTGGAGAACAGCCCTGCAAATTGGGAGCACCGTGGACTGCAAAAAAAAGGGCTGGGCATTAGGTTTCAGAAAGTGGAAGTTAGGTAGATTCCCCTTTGCAGGTGAACTGAACTGAGCTTTTGGGTTAATGCAGGCGTGAGGATAAGCCTGGACCTCTCTGGAAGATGTTACACCAGCTCTCCAGGGTCTGAAGCATGGTGCAACCCATGCTTCATAGCAACGTTTCCCTACACTGGAGAGCAAAGATTGTGCCCTCTTTCTAACAGGAGCACCAGCCCTTTGAGGTGCTCCAGTGTGAAGTTCAGGAGAAGAAACCCAGAGGTTTGCTGAAAACCAAAGTCCAGCCGTGCTACACACTCGCTGCCCGCCCTCCTTGCCGAAAAATCTCAGCTGATCAAACTGGGCCAAACAATGGCCTTACCTTCGTGGTTGAAGTCGTAGATGTAATCTGGGCAGGGCATGGCCACTGTCTTGCCCGGGGCACCTTCGGGCCAGCAGATGAGGTTGTCCCACTCGGGGACGCAGAACCCATCTGGGAAAGCAAAGCAAAGAAATCTATAGTTGAAGGGCTGCAATGGAAACAGAGCCAGGAATCGTCCGTGATAAGTGACCAAGCTTAGGAGGAGAAATTTCACAGTTCTGGTGAAAAATGTAGGGACAGGATTCCCACCTGCACAAGGACTGTTCCAGGAGGAACTGTTTTGCTCCTAGAGTAAGTGACCCTGGAGAAATTCCACAAACCCGATCAAATATCTTTGTTTGTGCACTTTGACATTCCTCGGATATTTCATCCATTTATGTACTTCTGAAGTCACCCTGAAATTCCACTATCAGCCAAGCATGGCAGGAACGTTTAGCGATGAACAGGATCTACCCATCTGAAAAACAGACAGAGCCTCAGCCCCACATTCAGGTCTTTGTTTTACACGAGGGATTTGGGGGTATTTGGTTCCAGATCCGGTCTGCTCACGGGATGCCCTGTTCAAAGAAAACACGCTGCGCCTGGGCATGGTGGCAAGAGGCCTGTTTGGTTTCATTTCTCAGCCGTAACTCCCAGCTGCCTGGAAATGAGGCAGGAGAATTGCCCCGAGAGACCCTGAGGGGAAGCAGAATCGCTGCAAACAGCCTTGGGCAAACACCGAGGGACCGGTTCCTGCTACCCACAGGGTACAGCGGTCTTGGCAGCCTTTGTGCCTTCCCACTTTGAGATGTTGTAAGGGGAAGGGATGTTTGGATGAACGAGATTCCTGAGGCAAACGTTGCTGGTCCTTGCCACCGCGCTGAGGTGGGGTTTGCTTTCTTAGATGCTTGCTTCTCCCAAGTTGCTGATGGGTACAAAACAAAACCATTTCTCCTATCATCCACGTTACCTCAAAGAGCATGCAAAAAGCATCCGTGTGGATCAGGCTAAAGCATGGGTAGGCAAACCAAGGCCCGGGGGCAGGATCCGGCCCAATCGCCTTCTAAATCCGTCCTGTGGACGGTCCAGGAATCAGTGTGTTTTTACATGAGTAGAATGTGTCCTTTTATTTAAAATGCATCTCTGGGTTATTTGTGGGGCAAAGGAATTTGTTCATTCCCCCCCCCCCAAATATAGTCCAGCCCCCCACAAGGTCTGAGGGACAGTGGACAGACCTCCTGCCGAAAAGGTTTGCTGACCCCTGCCCTAAACGGCCTCGGCCCTGTATACTCCACCCCCATAGTTCTGCCCGGACACTGAAGTCCAGCTCCGAGGGCCTTCTGGCGGACAGTCAAAAACACCCCAGGAAATTATGAAGCATGGCAAGGAAAGGGGTGTAACAAGAAAGGGTGTGTAAAAGGTAAAGGTAAAGGACCCCTGACAGTTAAGTCCAGTCGTGAACGACTCTGGGGTTGCAGCGCTCACCTCGCTTTACTGGCCGAGGGAGCTGACATTTGTCTGCAGACAGTTTTTCCAGGTCATGTGGCCAGCATGACTAAGCCGCTTCTGGCGAACCAGAGCAGTGCACGGAAACGCCATTTCCCTTCCCGCCGGAGCGGTACCTATTTATCTACTTGCACTTTGACGTGCTTTTGAACTGCTAAGTTGGCAGGAGCTGGGACCAAGCAACGGGAGCTGACCCCGTCGTGGGGATTCGCACCGCCGACCTTCTGATCGGCAAGCCCTAGGCTCTGTGGTTTAGACCACAGCTTGGGGAGATTCTCAAGGGCCAGGTAAACAGGTTTGGAGGGCCACATTCTGACTCCAGCCTTGAGGTTCCCCATCCCTGAGATAGACACTCTGATCCACCTTTCAGGGCTCTGATCATTTTTTAAATCACTCTTAATATCTAAACTTTGTGTTTCCTCTCTGCCCCGGGTTTGCATTTGCCACAAGCTCTGCCTCGATGCGAAAAGAGCACATTGAAACCATCTGCACAAATGCTCTGGCCGGGAAGCAAAAAAGCAAACAAGGTGCCGAGGTGTTTATCCAGGAGGGCGGAATAATAAATCATCCCTGGGTTTCTCTGGCACGGCGGACGAGGCAGCAGAGACCGCAAGCTGGGATACGCTGTGCCCTTGTGGTCAGCCCATTACGGGAAGGACAGCCCGTGGGTTGGAGAGAAAAGGAGCAAAGCAGCCCAAATTATTTCGGCGGGGCGTGGGGAGGAGAGGATGAGCATGAATCGGGTCTGTGTCAAATGGCCACCAAGAACTTTTGCTGGCCTTAAGAACATAGTAAGAACCTGCTTAAAAAGCAGAGACATCACCTTGCCTGTATATGGTTTTCCCAGTAGTGATGTATGGAAGTGAGAGCTGGACCATCAAGAAGGCTGATCACCGAAGAATGGATGCTTTTGAATTCTGGTGCTGGAGGAGACTCTTGAGAGGCCCATGGATTGCAAGAAGATGAAACCTCTCCATTCTGAAGGAAATCAGCCCTGAGTGCTCACTGGAAGGACAGATCCTGAAGCTGAGGCTCCAAGACTTTGGCCACCTCAGGAGAAGAGAAGACTCCCTGGAAAAGACCCTGATGTTGGGAAAGATGGAGGGCACAAGGAGAAGGGGACGACAGAGGACGAGATGGTTGGACAGTGTTCTCGAAGCTACCAGCATGAGTCTGACCAAACTGCGGGAGGCAGTGGAAGACAGGAGTGGCTGGTGTGCCCTGGTCCAGGGGGTCACGAAGAGTCGGACACGACTAAACGACTAAACAACAACAACAAGGACCTGCTGGATTAAGCCAGCGGCCCATCGAGTCCAGCATCCTTGTTCTCACAGTGGCCAAGCAGATTCCCCCAATGGAAACCTGCAAATCAGGATCCGAACACAAGACCCCCAGTGTTCAGAAGAATTGCTTCCTCCAACCGTGGAGACAAGAGCAGAGTCGTGATGGCTAGTAACCATTGGTAGCGTTCACCTCCATGACCTCCAGATTGCAGCTATAACAAAGGCGGCATTTTTTCATCTCTGCCAAGCTAAGCAGTTGGCTCCTTACCTCTCTCGCCCTGACCTAGCCACTGTGATCCATGCGACGGTCACCTCCAGACTGGATTATTGTAACTCGCTCTACGTGGGGCTGCCCTTGAGACTGACCCAGAAACTCCAGCCGGTGCAGAATGCCGCGGCGAGACTCCTTACGGGGTCCTCGCCGCGGGATCACATTCACCCAGTGCTATACCAGCTGCACTGGCTCCCGGTGGAGTACAGGATCAGGTTCAAGGTGCTGGTTTTAACCTTTAAAGCCCGATACGGCCTAGGACCCTCGTACCTACGGCACCGCCTCTTGTGGTATGTCCCATGGAGGACCTTACGGTCTTCAAATAAAAACACCTTGGAGATCCCGGGCCACAGGGAAGTCAGGCTGGCCAGGGCTTTTTCAGCTGTGGCCCCGATCTGGTGGAACGCTCAGTCACAAGAGACCAGGGCCCTGCGGGACTTGACATCTTTCCACAGGGCCTGCAAGACGGAGCTGTTCCACCAGGCCTTTGGCCAAGGCACAGTCTGACCCCCTCCTTCTGTAATCCTCATAGAACTCTAGCCCAATAGTTGCCATTAATTTGATTCTGAATTGATTTTAGAATGAATTGATTTTAGAATGCTGTGTTACTTTTATTGTTGTTAGCCGCTCTGGGCCCGGCTTCGGCTGGGGAGGGCGGGATATAAATAAAATTTATTTTTATGATTATGATTATTTCAGCAGAGATTTGGTTGTGCATTTTTTGATGTTTTATTTATTGCTTATGACTACTTTTGTTATGCTGCAGTTATTTATTTATTTTGATGTTGTAAGCTGCCTTGTGCATGGTTTGAGCTGTGGAAGGGCAGCATACAAACAAAATTATGTATTATGTAAAGATGTACAATTTTGATCCTGAAGCTCACCTATAGTCCTTGAGGTGGTTACAGTGCTGGATTTACGTATAAGCTAAACAAGCTAAAGCTTAAGGCCCCACTCTGTTGGGGGCCCCCCAAAAAATTAAAGGAAAAAAACCTGGATGTACATTATTATTATTATTATTATTATTATTATTATTATTATTATTATTATTATTATCCCAATCTTGTTTTAAAGCTACCCATTGCTGCCTCATGTGGCAGGGAGTTCCATAGTTTAACAAGCCCTGCTCTGGAGAGGTATGTTTTTTAATACGTCCTTTTAAACCTGTCTTTTACTCTGATTGTAATTATGTTATATATATATTCAAGAACCTACGCTTAGATATGCATATGCTTTATGCAACTTTCTGGATTTATCGTTGATTGTTTTCTGGCTAGTAAAGCTGGAATCCTAATTATGGGTCTGGGCAAATTTTATTCCAAAAGGAGCCAGCTTTTATGCACCCAATTGCTTCATGCTGTGAAATTTTAATATCTGCAATATACCGTATTTTTCGCTCCATAAGACACACTTTTTTCCTCCTAAAAAGTAAGGGGAAATGTCTGTGTGTCTTATGGAGCGAATGTGTGATCCCTGGAGCTGAATTGCCCAGGGGCGAAAAGCAGATCATGCTTTTTTTTTTTTTAAGAAAGAGGGAAGTGGGTGTTGAAACAAAGCCGCTGATCGGCAAGCAATCAGGAGTGAGATAAGGGACGCTAGCAATAAAGGAGGCTGCCTGGGAGGGGGGAGGTAAAGACAGCAAACTTGCAAGGAGATGAGACAGGAAGACTAAAGCAATGAGGAGAGAAATTAGAAGAAAAGGAGGAGCAAAAATCTGCTCCAGCTAAAGAAAAGACACTAAGGCAAACAAGAGGGAAGGGGGTGTTGAAAGGAAGCAGCTGATCAGCAAGCGATCGGGAGGGAAATAAGGGATGCTAGCGATAAAGGAGGCTGCCTGGGAGTGGGGAGGATCCTCAGGATTTTTGAATTGGGTCACCCCAAATTCACCATCAGATCACATAGCATGTCCATGGCTACAGCCTGCACCAAAAAAATCATGCATCCACTGTTTCGTGGGGCCGCAATGGCGTAAAAACGTGGTTACAAAGTACGGAAGCACATGGATTCTCAGGATTTATTGCATTGGGCTACCCCAATCAGATCACATGTCTGTGGCCACAGCATGAACCACA